CAAGCTATGGCATTAATATATTTCCACACCCAATACCAAACTTGTTCTTTAGCCCATGCCTCTTTACCACTGATAAGTATATTTTACTAAGACGATCCCGTCTAAAACCCAACTCAATTAAATCATCAGTAAACTTTAAAACCCTATCAGAAAACGTAACAACGTTATTACAGATCCTAGAATATCTCACAACCTGTGAACAGTACGTGCCATATAATACACTACTAGCTTGATTACTCATCAAAGGTTGAAACTTAACCACTTTAAAACCAAACTTATCCCTTTTATCATAAACTCTACAAGAAAACTTCCCCTCTCTATTTATCGAAATATCAAGATCTAATACATTGGCGGCACTATCTACTTCATTTTCCTTATTAAGAGTAAGTGAGTCTGGATAAATTAACTTAAAATATTCCTCTAAGTAACCATCAGAGTTAAGGGTAGTAATATCATCTATAAGTCTAAATGTATTATTTAACTTCTTTACAATATAGTATCTATTTTTATACGTACTATCTAGGAAACTGTTCTCAAAATACCAAAGTGTTAAGTTAGCAATATATGGACCAGGGTTGATTCCAATAGGTACACCGATATGTTGCCGATATATAACAGTATCCAATGCAATAGCTGTAATCTAAGTTATTCAACATAGAATGTATGAAAAATTATGGATCAACGACTTCGTCACTTTGTAAAAGTGTAATGTTTTAAATTATTATATAATATCTTGACATGCAACTAGCAGCCATACATTAAAATGTTACATAATATACACACACCTTGTCAATATAGTGTACAGACCACAATATGTAACACAAATTATAAAGGCCAACTTTATTATGGTGTACTTCCATGTATAATTAATTAAACTAATATATTGTAATATAAATGCTGACGTTGTGAGGTGCATGGTACCTAATTCACTTGCTTTCAATACTATTTTACGCTTATGATGGAAAATTAATTATTTTACATATATCGTAAAAATAAAGGTTAAAACTTCGGTGAATGAAAATGACAGTAAATTCACATCCTTTATATTTTGTCGCGCCTCCTGTCGTGAAATGATACTAATAATAATCAAGTATTTAAGTAATTAATTAATTAGTTAATTAATTTATTAATATTTCAGGAGCAGCCAGGACGTGGAGGATCAGATAGTTCAAAAACCAAAGAAGACCTTAGGTATGTACTGTTACCATGGTTACGTTAGACATTTTCTTACATTCTTTTCGTTGTGGACTGTCAAGAATGTGATAGTTTTTAAAAGTGAGCTCTGAACGATGACGCGAAACACTCTGTGTTTAACTTTCTTTAATGGGCAAGTAAATTATGCTGGAAGAATTGAAGCGACTCTGTAGCCTGTGATAAATCCGTTGCGATATTTATATTGGAGTAATTTAGAAACTGCCCCTGCGCAAAAATGATAAAAGATTAATTTTTCATAGATAATTGGATCTCTGTTGAAATATCAATATTATATTGTATTGTATGCAGTGAGTAATTCATACTGCATGCGCCCCACTCCCCAGCAACCCACGCCGCGCAACTCCTATTTTATTTAAGCTGGGGGACCACGTTACCAAATGTTAATGAACTGTACTAGTAGTATCAGTATTTATACTACTATTAGTATTAGTATAATATGTACTACTAATATACACTACTAATCAGCTGTACTGATGTGTTTTGCTGGTTAATGGTTATGGTGTGTCCACATGATCCTACAAGCTGTTAACTCATAAGTCTTCCTATTGAAGCCACAGCCCTTCTAACACATTGTGCAATTCAACTGGATAATTAAGTAGATATATCTAATAATTCATAGTATTTCTAGATATCTCTAATAATTGACGAGTATAGATATCTGTGTCTGACAGTGAGGTTCTTGCTTCAGACTTGCTGAGGTAGGAACGTAGGAACTTCTTATCTCCTGGGCGATAAGGAGTAACACCTGGGCAGATCGTCGCTATTCTAGACATAAACAACACTAGATATACTACTAGATTATATGTGTAATGTGTGCACTATATTATGATGATATAATCATGATATAATAATATTTTTAAAACTCATAAATTTCAATTTTTCCGAAATTTATTAAATTTGTGTATGATTAACATGAGTGTAGAAACACGTTGAAACTATTCTCAAAAGTAAGTAAAATACATGTTCTGCGAAACTTTAAAAGTCGAGCGTGTTTTAAAGTTTCCCTCGGGACATATATTTTATGAATATTATTGATTACTTGCTCAGGGTTCACATTCTTCGCATTCCACATTTTTAGGGTTTAAACGTTTTATCTGGTTTTTGTGGTACTAAATCATGATATTACACGATTACACGACCGAAAATAATTTGTGGCCTGCAGTAGTACACATAAAATGTGCGGTATTTGATCCAGCCTAAAAATGTGTAAAATCCAAACTGCAGGCTATAACTCGGTGTAACAAATTCAAATTTTAATTTCCTTATCTTAAACCGGACTTTTTCATTAACAATTAAAGTGAAGTATGAAATTTTGCAATCTTCTGGAAGATTGGAGAATTAATGAGGTTAGTGTGCACCTCCTTAATCCTCCTCCTCCACCTCCTCCTCCTTTTCCTCCTCTTCCTCCTCCTCATTCTCCTCCTCCTTCTCCTCTTCCACCTCCTCCTCCCTAATCCTTATATTATATTATTATAAAACCGCAGGATCACAAAGAAAACCACACTTTCTAGGAAGTGACATTTTTAGGCAAAAATCATGAAACTTTGACGAACATTACTTTGATGTCCGAATACAAGTAAAGCTAATAGTATGACTTGTATGTGAGGAGGACGCTGCATAATTAGAAAACAATTCATCTTTATAAATATCATGAATATGTGACCCTAATATAACTTACTCAACATTTCACCCTCTAGATATGTAATAACAGAAAACATTGATCAATTAAGTGATTACCAAGGTAATTAACAAGTCGAAGGTGTGGTAGATGAGTCATTACCTATAAATCAGATTATACTGCTCTAAACCCAGCCTCCCATCACAGCGTGTCATCCCCCCTCTACTTGAGTGTAATCAAACTGACCAATCAGAGCATTGTAATCCCACCACGTGACACAAACAAGCCAATCAGAACACAGTTCAATTTATTACTGGAGTGTAACCCCTAGCTTAGTGTAATGATCTATTCTAGAATTACTGGGACGGCCATTGACCCTCCCTAAATATCCGCCTTAATCCTACACAGGACACTGTGGGTATTATCCGTCATGCTTACACACACTAACCAATCAGAACACAGTGCTCACACCACGTGACACAAACTAACCAATCAGAACACAGTGCTCACACCATGTGACACAAACTAACCAATCAGAACACAGTGCTCACACCATGTGACACAAACTAACCAATCAGAACACAGTATTCACACCACGTACACAGAACACTCAATCTGCGGGTATTATCCGTCATGCTTACATAATCGTTTATTATTCACATGTGGGATTACATAATGAAAATGATCATTCATTGTGATAACGTTTCTCACAGTGTCGTTTTAATGATCCTAAATTTAAACATTGTTACATCTTTACACGTTATAACGTCAGCGGTGTGTGAAACGTAATACCTCTTAGCCAATCAGAAAACAGTACTAGCACCAGTACCACGTGACACAAACCAACCAATCACGGCACATTATTCATACCACGTGACATAAATTAACCAATCAGAATACAGTCTTCCACTCTATTACATTTTGATTCAAATCGGGTGCTCTCCTCAGTCCTCCTGCTGCAATGCGATGCCAGTGCAGTGGGACTGTGCGCTTAGGTTGATATCGATCAAATATTTGAGATGGTTGGCATAGTTACGATGGTTGGTATAGTTACTAGAAACTTCCAGGGTGGGGCTTCAGTGCAGTTACAGCTGTAGTTATAATACTAGAGCTGATCTGAGCATTCCTTTCACGACAGTTACAGGTACATTCCCCCTACATTTCTCCGCGGTATTTGGTATCGGGTATGAAGCCCCAAAAGCCTCACCAGCTACAAGAATTTTGGGACTGATTCCTTAAAATTGTAAAGTTGCACAATGCACATTCGTCTATTTACAAGGGATGACCATTGACCAATAGGTATTGCCCATCGAGCAAGATATGTAGTAATAACACTAACAGACTGTTGAAGCTTTTACTCTATTAACAGGTTTTGAGAAGAAATGGTGCTCTTTTACAATAAAATGCAGCTCTTGCCACTATAATGCCACAATGCATAAACCTTGAAATCGACACAATATTCTGAATCCGATTTTCTATGAAATTTAAGTCATGTTCAATATGCGAACCATTTAACCACTTGTCCACACGCATTGTCACTTCATTATGCAAGTTCCATTCACCCTCAAGACTGGAATATAACGGTTTAAGTGTTAGGAAATAAAACTTGCACTCAAAAATGCGGATAAATGCGGATATTAAATTATAATTGCGCTGTTCAACATGATCAACATGTTCAACATGATCAACATTCAACATGATCAATAATCCTCATGTTCTGTGACTCTGCACGTTCGAATCTGTAAAGCTATCTTTCTGTCTTCTTCCTTGCATTAACATAATATTAATATCACGTCTTATAATAATTTGAAAACGTTCATCATGGCAATCTTACAAAAATCGACCTAACCATTTTTATTAAGATAAAGAAACAGACAAAATCTTCGTAAATCTAACTGATGAGTTAAAATACACAGAGCTTCTAACTCTGTTTCTCACCTTACGCAATAGCAGACAACTTTTTACTTGACGAGATTAAAAATACTAATTTACTAAAAAACACATTAAAATTTTACTGGTTCAGACTCAAAAGAAAGCTGACACTCATGTTTATAAACAAAGTGAATAGTTTCCCAGAACACACCTGGTAGTTAAGAAACAAACAATAAGAAACATCTGTTAGTAACATTGCATGTCAGAATATATACCTTCTGAATTCTTTTTACTCGCCGGGCTGATCTTGGGTGGTCCTGAGGGCAGACTTCAAATCTGTGGACGAGGAGACTCGTAGTGGTTCGATTCCACCTGACCGGCGTTCTTTACAAGATGTGCTCATGTGGATGTGGGCTTTTTTACTGATATTGTCATGTGGTTTGTGTTTATATAGGGGCTTTTCGACTATTTTAAATATAAAGTACACGGTCATGATAGATCGTGATGAATGGAACGCGCGAAGACTCTTTGTACGATATGTTGCGAGAGTGCGAGGGTAAATAAATTGACTGCGCGGCGGCAGCGCGCGTTCATTTTCTTTTTTAGCTAGGCATGTGTGTAAGAATGAAGTAGGCGATAATGGATTAGAAATTCTCAATATAAGGTAAGACATTTTAACAAAATAATTTAATATTGACCAATCCAACACATCCTGCTACCACTATACCCCCTTTACCCCTATACAAGGTTCAGTGTAACACTACAGGATACTGGATTGTTGGGCGGTATTCGCGGTATTTAGTTGACAGCACGCTTACCTACTATTCAGAATCTCAACATACCAAAGTTCCAATGTCAGTGTACACTGTAATTCTGTAAGGTCTCTCTCGCTCCAAAAATCGAGTTATAGATACAGTTACCGTGATTCGCTTACGGGAGCGTGTGTGAGTTTTGGAGATTGGACAGCTATCATGTGGATTGTGGAGCGGAGATCTTAATCGTGTCAAAGTATCAAATGCTTCGTTACACTTACTATATAGTGTGTATTTCCCCTGTTACTTCGTTACTGTACAATGTATTTCCGCTGTTTTCTTACACTTGTCTTTTTTTAACACGATGATAATAACTGTTTAATCAGTAGCTCACATTTTCAGGTCTCGTGGAAGCATATTTCATGAAACTTGAATATTATATCATTTGGTTTCTTTGAGCAAAGTAAGCGCTAATTGAACTAGCTTTGTAAATCTTTTTCAGCTAAATTTGTTATATTTTCTAGCCTGATTTACATTGTGATAATTTGTTGAGAGGTTTGTTAATTTTCCGGCTTTTCTGCAAACCGCTGGGGATGGTAGAAATCTGAGATACGTTTCCTTCCTAAATAAGTCTTCTTCCTATGATGACTTCTGAACGAAAATACGAGCATTTTAATCTGTTCGAAAGTAAACGTAGTTTAATATCATATTTATCCATTGAGACATTCATGATTCAAACTTAGATACACAAAAAGAAACCTTACTTTACATTACATAATCGTGTGTCCAAAGCAAACATTACATAATTATACCAGCTTTTAGTAGTTTTAGATCAACCTTGAAATTAAATACAACAAAGATAGAGTTGCATTTCACGTGTTTTACAAATATGGATAGTATATATTTAGCAACTTAAAAGTCATTCTTTGTAGCTGAAGGAGGAATTGACGTATTAAGTAAATTATATTGTGAATTAAGTAACTATTGTAAATTCGTCTGTGAATTAAAAACCTTCAAAGCACACAAATCAGGCACACAAAACATTCGTAATTGTCGATTAATTTTGGTGCCCAACAATATTGGAATCCTACTTTATTTGTACACTGGACATTGGACAATGGACATCAATCACTCAAATTAACGTTTAAAATGGCATATTTTACTTGCCTAAAACCATTTACCCATGGGCTATATTTTCATGAGTATTGTCATCACATCATGGTTACCCGGTCGATGAAGAACAATAAACATGCTGGTGTAATATCAATGATTAATGAAGATACCCTCACGTCATGATATCTCAGAATTCCTCTAACATCATTACATCATTACATTACAACACCTGTGTCATGAGGCCCTGTGTGCTACACTCGCTGACTCTACGGTCCGCTGCTTTCTTTAGTAACTCCTTTTGTGGAGGTATCTGCTTGTTTCCCGGATGTATCTGCTTGTTTTCCGGAGGTATCTGCTTGCTTTGTGGAGGTATCTGCTTGTTTTCCGGAGGTATCTGCTTGTTTTCCGGAGGTATCTGCTTGTTTTCCGGAGGTATCTGCTTGTTTTCCGGAGGTATCTGCTTGCTTTGTGGAGGTATCTGCTTGTTTTCCGGAGGTATCTGCTTGTTTTGCGGAAGTATCTGCTTGTTTTGCGGAAGTAGCTGCTTGTTTTGCGGAAGTATCTGCTTGTTTTGTGGAAGTATCTGCTTGTTTTGCGGAAGTATCTGCTTGTTTTCCGGAGGTATCTGCTTGTTTTTCGGAGGTATCTGCTTGTTTTGCGGAGGTATCTGCTTGTTTTCCAGAGGTAGTTGCTTGTTTCGCGGAGGTATTTGCTTGCTTTGTGGAGGTATCTGCTTGTTTCGCGGAGGTATCTGCTTGTTTCCGGAGGCATTGGCTTGTTTTGTCGACGGTTTTGTTTGTTTTGCGGACTCATTTGTGTTAGTTTGTTGTTGGCGTGTATTCCACTATGAATTGTACTAGTCATGGTAGAATAGCTCTTTTCCTTGGTTACAGTGTACAAGTTATATGATTGGGCGCTTGTTTATTAGCAACATATACTATGTTGGATGATACTTATTTCCAATACAGGTGACATAATTCAGTGTGAAAACTTCTGGGCTTATTTTTCAGTCACTGAATGCTCAATCGAGATAATTCTTTCTGATATAACCTGAAAGCTCAATTATAGTGTCGTATGAGTTATGACACTATCAATTAATGATCAACGAATCAACTTTGCTGACGGGATAAACAAAATGTCTGATTACTTCGTAATTTAAACTCCGTCTTTCATAATTTTCATGGGCCACATCTAATTACACTATTGCATTGTGTGAAAATTGGGTTTCTAGCATATAAACAATTCAATGTTGCAAGGGCGTGGTGACAGAATCCTCAAATGAGTAGTTACAGTATACCATCTGCAAATTTACAAGTCTCAAACATGGAAAATGGCTACTATTTTACTAGCCCAAACGTTTGCACACTGTGTTATGGGGCCCCCTGTACTTTCAACACTACTAACTTACTACTGGAACGTATATGGTTGTATACGATTGAGGTCAAGGTCCCAAAAAGAACCTTAATTACATTTACTTTAGTTTTATAAAGCCAGGGCTCGTACGAACATTAATTGTTTGTACTTCCATTTTGGGCGTCTTAATTATATGCAACAGAAATATATGCATTATGCATATATTTCTGTAGTACTAGTTACAGTGTCAGTAAGGTCCATACGAAATTTAAGTATTGATGATGTTGTTGCCTAATCAATACTAATACATAATTAATTTGTCCGACAGTCAAACTGCTAAAAGAAATAATTATCATCCAACATACAGCATTACAGTGAACACTTTTCTTTGCATCGTAAACTTTAGCTTACAGTTTTCTAGCTTCGTTTTAATCGTAGCTTTCGTTTTCGTTTTTGACTTAGTAATAGTCAGTGAGTTTTTGGCTATGGTAGCGTTCGCTATAATTGTGCGTAAAATTGAAATCTGCCGTTTTTCTGAGTCGAAATTGTTAATTTGAAAAATTAGTTCTACTTTTTGTTGTTTGTTAGAATAAGCTTACCGTCTATTTGTTTAATTTCCTAGTTTGTTTAGTTTCCTAGCTTGTGTCCCATATAGTGAGACGGTTTCACGTTTCCATTTTTCAGCGCGTGCCACACCCCTCTCATTTATGTTATCGTGGAATGTACCGTGTAAAAACGAACCTTGTTAACTAAAAAGCCTCGCTAACTCATACTGAGACACAGGAGTCATGTTACAGAATACTAATATATATATATATAATATATATATATATATAAGAGGCTTTATATAAAGGTCTCTATCCGTACCACTTCGCTGGTTATCTTCGTTAACGTTAATGCTAGCCGAATTATTATTAGAATATTACCCTATATTCCCTGAATTATCAGTAATATTACTAATATTCACTGATATCAGTTAACATATGACTGATATATGAGCCGGTGCCACGGGCAGTGCTTTTTTCTACAACTTCTCACTCGACAAAGTGTGTACACTCACAGCACCAGTTAGGCTTGCTCATATTCGTGCTGCTTCCTGCGGTGTGCTTCTTAATATGCGGTATTAGCCGTGCGGTATTATGCGGTAGTAGTGCGGTGTTAATACAGTATTGTGCGATATTATGCGGTATTAATGCAGTATTATGCGGAATTATGCGATAATACGGTATTATGCGATGATACGGTATTAGCGTTGCGGTAATAATCATTTGACCTCCACATCTCCTGTGCTAATTCATTGACGTACAAACGTCTTGAAGCTGGAATGTTTGTATGTGTCTCTCACGTTACAATTATTCTTATATGTAAGTAACTTAAAACCATCCCCGCTAAGTTATTTCCATTAAACTTATATAAAATACCGGATAATCGGGGCTATTTTTTGCTACATCCTGGTTTATGGGTTTACAACCCACTGAATATAGTTGGTAATGATCTTCATCTAAAGGATATAAAAATACGTCAGTGGCCGGTGTATGTTTCATGTTGTTATGTAATATATGTTATAGTCTATAGACGTGAGCTGACAGTAGTTTACCTCAATCTCAGAGCAGTTTACCTCATCCTCACCCCCTCTTCCACTCTCCCTTCACCCCCTCTTCCACCCTCCTATATGTTAGATCATTTTACAGGAATGCCTACCGTTTCTCTCTGCTGTAGAAATAAGATAGCACATATGTCCTTGTTAACGCTTGTACACTTACTGATATTCCTTTAAAATATAATTCATTGCTGAGGCTGCGCGGTGATATTGCTAAATTCTATAAGTGTCGTGACACTGACATTCCTTGCTTTATTGCTTGTTGATGTGGGGTTCTTTGTTGTTATTAATTGGCTGCTTGTCATGTTAATTAGTTCTTGCTTACAATATTTTGAAATTAAGTTTCTGCTAAACGTATTCATGAAATAATTTAAACGATAAGTTACTAAATAGTGTTTTTTCCCGTTATATAGCTGGTAGCGTGTAATCAAGGTAACCATGCCTATCCCAACGCTAAAGCTCTTCAACGCAACAGTCGAGGACGTGAACCTAGGTACGTACATTTAACTTAAAGTGACTGACATTACCTCTGACACATCACGTGACACATTCTGACACACGTGGTACACCACGTGACTTGCCCAATACACTGACGCACAATATCGCCTCAACTTCTCGCGGAGAACTAGGATTTTACGTGAGAGCTGGACACTGACCCGTGCCAAGCAGAGACAAAGACCAACCGACCAAATTAGAGAGATGTCAGATATTTTAAAGAAATATGTATGTCGACATATTACCGTAACTAACTGATACGTGCTGTACGTCACGTGACTTGAGTAACTGAAGTGTTGTTGTCAGTCTAGAGTAGCCAACCATTCACTTGTGCTGATACTGATACCACGCTACTTACTTGCTACACACTGTCGCACGCTACTTGCTACTAGTAGTCGCGCTACGAACCGTCGCGTTATGACACGTTTTACCTTCAACCCAATGACTTCCTCAGATGGATCCTTGCGTAAGTAGATTGGTGTTTTCCTGTTTGTTACCCTAGTAATCGTTACTATGGTAACCCTTTTTGAGCAGCCGTAAGTTTTTATTCTCTATGAAGTCGGGTTGTTTTTCAAAGCTTTAACTTTGTGCTGAACGATGTGAATTGAGACATGTTAGTGATCTGATAAACAGCTGCTAGAACTGTCACGTGATTAAACTGTAAAGATATTTAGAGCTTAACTACATATCTTGTACAGTTGATCAGGTGATCACAAAGTAGCTCCAATTCACATGGTCCAGTACATCGTTAGAGTTGTCTCGCTGAGAATGGTGTTATGTGTTCTTTGTATGCGAAATTCTGCCCCTTTCGGAGTAGCACCTTTTACCTAATATGAGATGATGGGAAATGTTTGATTTTCTTATTACCGTCACAATAACAGAGCTTGTTATCGTTGGTATCACAAAAATAGCTCATTAGCCCGGGGGACAATGAGATGGGTCAACCAGTACTGGCGCTACATTTCGCGATCTGAGATTCTCCTGTGTGTTTAGGATGCCGCTCACTATTACTATAATCCTCGCGCTGGTTTTTGCCCTGGCAATTGGTCTTGCTGTGGCTATGATTATCGCTGTTGCTTCGACCTGATGATGTCTCTGTCACCATGGCAACTTCTCTCGTACGGACTCCGTTCTCTCTGGATATTGAGACTCATAATGGAAGAGTTCACCTGCTGGTTCCTGTACACGGTGTTTGGACTAATAAGAACAATAATCCCTTCAAAACCTTGAGTCACGTCCTACAATGCTGTGTAACTCATGCCTCGAATATCAAAATAATTCCTTGATAGTTAGACTCCATCATATAGACTTTAGACAGTCAGCTTCGAAATTGGAAATTTTTGTTCGACATTTCGGAGGAAGCCTTGCTGTGGATAGGCAAAAATCTTATTCAAAGGATGAAAAACTGATGTAGAATTTGTGGACTTAACTTTATAAAATTAAATTTGATTTTCGAGGAAAAACATGATATGGCAAAAATTTTACTGAACTCTGTTGTTGCTTCTTAATATAAATCTTGGCTGGTGATGTTATAAGAGTTGTTGGATCTGTGACCTTTGTTATTTTTCGGCTGATATTTCATGCTGTTCCACACGATTTATTTGTAGATGCGTTGAATTCTGATCTTGATTTGACTTATTTTAGTAGGTTATCAACATTTTAGGTCAGATAGATTTTCTACGATCATTATTTGGTGTTAAAAAACATTTCCATTCAAAATTATGATATCCAAGTATTTTCATTTTCATTAAGAAAATTTCACGAATGCTATCTTGCATTTCTCTATAAGATGATTGTGGTGAGTGGAAGTAAAAGACCCGACTGAAAGCTTTGAATTGATTTAGAGTTCTGGATTAGAACGCGGGGTCGTGATATTTGAGTCATTGGTTCTTCTTCTTTGTAAGTGCTCACTGCTCATTGGTTCTACTTCTTTGTTAGTGCTCACTGCTCATTGGTTCTACTTCTTTGTTAGTGCTCACTGCTCATTGGTTCTACTTCTTTGTTAGTGCTCACTGCTCATTGGTTCTACTTCTTTGTTAGTGCTCACTGCTCATTGGTTCTACTTCTTTGTTAGTGCTCACTGCTCATTGGTTCTACTTCTTTGTTAGTGCTCACTGCTCAAAGTCTCGGTTAGGGCCTTGTAATTGTATGCGTGGGATGTACGCTTTTGTTGGGAGGTAAAAGTAAAATGTTGGGAGGTAAATGTTGCGAGGGAAAATTTCGGAAGGTAAAATTTTGTGAGGGAAAATGTCGGGAGGTAAAATGTTAGGAGGGAAAATGTCGGGAGGTAAAATGTAAGGAGTTAAAATGTTGGAAAGAAAAATGTTGGAAAGTTAAAAATTCGAGAGGTAAAAATTCGTTCACCAGTGAACCGTATATTCTTTTGAACGATGGTGTTCAGTCCCGATGGTGTTCCATTGACCTATAAGTATACCCTTCACACTCTTTGAGTCTTTGTGTCGTGCACGATAAGTTGAACGATTGCCAATCTCATTCTCACTGCTTGACACCGCCGCCTTAATAACTCTATATTATAACAGTTAAGTATCACAGCAATACGAGCTTGTCAAATCTTCTCTCGGATAATTTGCGATACTTGTTGTAAGAATTTGAAATTGTTCTGATCCACGAGTTTTACAGCTACACGTTTGATTCCTCTACTTGTGATTGTAATCAAGCGGACGCTTCCTATTGGCTCGTGCTTAAATCCCTGGTCCCCCATTGGACGGTTGGCTGTGTCCTGTTCTCTGATTGGTTGGTTGGTTTAGTTCACCGTTTCTGATTGGTTGGTGTGAGCACTGTTGAAGGAAGAGGGAGTTGACACGGGATTATAACACATTCCGTTTTCTTCCGTTAGTTTTACAGTCATCACTCCTTACTAACACAGCGTGATATCCTCTGTGACCTGTCGTCCGGTAGATATATAGTTTGGGAATCTCCTCCAGTTGTTGTTGTTGCATTTATATCGAGCTAGCTACCAGCGAGTCCCTCTAACCGGCCTTCTGAAGTCTGACCTCTGTACTCACATTACACAATTCTCACTGTGTATTAATATGGACCCCGGAGAGGAGGCGCTCACTAGCACAGACGATGTTGACAAGTTGAAGAGTTATTTAGTGTCGATACAGGGGAAGATCACAGACTTGGAGAAGTCTAAGACTTTGAAGAGGAAGGTTTCTCGACACAATTCTTCCATTTTGTGTAAGTCGGAGGAATATTCTGGAGTTATGAAGTTGAGGGTGGTACATGAAATTGGGAAGTTTTAGCACGGGACTTGTTCAAATGATTTGCATCTCTCTCTCACTTTTTGCTCCACTTTTTGCTCCTAAAATTTGGATGTTCTTTAGTCTTCCGTTATAGTTGACTGACTTATATGGTTAATACTTATATGAAATTAACCAGACAGTGACATTTACACGCACAATTCTAAACTACCGATTACTTCAACTCCGACTATATACAGTAACCCCGATTTACCGCGGCCATTTTCTTTCCCCAAACTCCGCGGTAAATCGTGGCTATACTGTACTACTTATTGACGTACGAATTACACAATGTATGGACCTATACACTTAACACTTGACGCATACTATTCTAACACATGATAACATATTCTAACTAAACACATTATAACACATGATAACATATTCTAACACATTATAACACATGATAACACCCAATAACACGTCCACTACACGTTGTTTCAGTGTCGGCCCAGCTCACTAAGGATACAGTGGAACAGAAGAATCAGGAGATAGATGATCTTACTGAGATGATGATGAGGTGTCTGGAGAATGCAGATGTGGAGGATTTTATAGGTAAACTACTTCTTTTTCCTCCCCCCTCCCCCTTTTTTTTCAAAGCCCCTGGTGTGAAAAGAGTTCCAGAGATGTCGGTAGAGTAACTGTAATGAATAATGATAATCAAAAGAATTGAAGAAACTAACGAAAATATTGAACAAGTTTCGATTTCAAAGTTTTATATCAATAATTAACAGTCATAATATGACTCACAAGAATGAAAGTTATTAATACTCCATACCACAAAAGTAACTAGTCTAGAAAATTAGGATATATAGAATCAAGGCGGGAATGAAGCGGAATATTTTGATATGAACAGACAAGTACAACCTTATACAAGTAAAAGTTATGTCGAATACCGAATTGAATATCGAATCTTGGACATTTTATTTTTTAAAATCCGGATGTAACCACAATATTTCTCTGGAATTGTATAGGATTCAGCTTACCGCATTGGAGTAAATGCTTTAGAAATATCATGTTTCTTTCTAATGGTAGCTGTAACTGTATTTATGTTCAGAGTAAACCCTATTGATATTTACACTTGTAAAGTAAGGTTGGACCTGGTCTAATATTCTAGTTGAGTAGTTCTATTTCCTAACATATTGAAGTTGGATGTTTGTCCCGTATTTCCATTATCTGGGATGCTTTGTTTTACTTATTAGTTATTGTTTAATGTGAACCCGTATTGATATTAATTTGTTTGAAAATGAAGTTTCTCCGTTTGCTGCTCCAATTGCTACTCCTTGATAAGGTAAGAATTTTTCCCTAATTCATATCGGTTTATGTGCCACTTGCCATACATTTTTCATGCTGTATTTAATATATTGCTTTTTAACTTAACTTTTTATTTTATTTGAAACAATGCTTAATCAAAGTTAATTTTCTGTATTCTTCAAATTAGACAATTAAGTTATTTTTGGGCCAGGTTAACTGTAGTGGAAGCGGACAGATACAGTTTATGAGGTACACAGATGTTAAGGACATGGATTCGAACACGAATACTAAGAACAGTAGTGATTTCTACTTCAGTCTGGTTAAGATATTGGATGAGGACAACAAGATCCTCCACGAAATTAACGAAACTCAGAAAGAGTTATGGAATACACAAGATCTTAATTTAACTCTAGTGGAGGAACTGAAAGATCCAATTGATTTATCTCTCCCTACCAACAAAAGTGTCACTGTTACAATCAGTGTCTATGATTATGATGGTGAATATGACGATGACGATTTCACAAGGAATATGACGGACATGGTTCCATTTTCCAGCAAACAGGTTGGGGAGGAATGGAGTGAGATAGTGTTCAGCTCCCCTGATAAAGGAGCTACCCTCACCCTAAGGTACAGAATACTTGAGTGTGATGAGCACTTCACCGGATACGGCTGTAATCTCTGTAGTGAAGGATGGACTGAGGAGATATGTGACAGATGTGATGCTTACTTCTATCCAACAAGAAAATGCACGAAATTCTGTAAGGCCGAACCTGGTAGATCCTTCTGTACGTCTGAAGGGGTAAAAATGTGTCTAGAGAACAGAGGGGGCAAGGATTGTGAGAGCTGTCTAGAAGGGTGGACGGGGGAAGAATGTGCTGATTGTGCTGATGGTTATTACCCTCAAGGCAGCTGTAGCACTTACTGCGAAGTGAAAGGTAACTACACATGTGACCTAAAAGGACAGAAGATATGCGCAGAAAGGAAGACAGGAACTAACTGTGACAGATGTGTGATTTATCATTTCGGCGAGGAATGTTCCATGTTCTGTAAGGCCACTGAGTACTACACTTGCTCTGAAGGCGGGAAGAAAATCTGCTCTGACGATAATTCCAGTCCCGAAGAAGATTGCATTGCATTGCCAGTTCCGAAGAAAAATAATATTGTAATGATAACAGGCATCGTAGTCGGAAGTGTACTTGTAGTGTCTTTGTTGGTGAACATAATCCTTGTTTATAGGCTGAAGAAAAATAATAACCAGAAGGACCTCAAGAAGGAACAAGACAACACACTGATCAATCCTCTTTATCTTCCAGTTGTGGTAGATCCAGTAGTGGCAGGTAGAAAAGAAGGGTCCAGTAATGATCAAGGAGAAAAGAAAAATGAATCTCGGATCCGTTTCGCCGAAGATACTGATGTGCATGTTCTTGGTTCATCTTTAGACGGAAACGATGCCGTCTATTCCATTGACGAGAGTGAAGATGCTGAAGCCTTTTATTCAACATTAGACGACGATGGCGCCATGTTTAGCGCAGGAAAGAATAAAGATGCTGATGGCGATGCCACCTATTCAACATTGGACGAAAAGGATGACATGTTTTGTGTCACAAAGAACAAAGATACTGATGCCACTTATTCAACATTGTACAGAGAGGATGACATGTTTTGTGTCAAAGATGCTGATGCCAACTATTCCACCTTGGATAAAAATGACAAGTTCAACTCAATCCCTTTTACCACAAAAGCTGCTGACACTGGTCCAGCAAGGTACGATTCCAATGACTCTGTTAAAGAGGATTTGGATGAGCTCTACTCTACTCCACACAAAGATATCGGACCAACCCTCTCCATCCCAGAAAAGAAGATGACTCCAAATACTCCTGGTCCTCCTGAGATACCGAAACTACCGGACTCCCTCACGGATGATCATCTCGCAGATGACCTATTGAGTTCAAACGTTGACCCCTTTGCTGACTCAGAGGAAGATCTGGATGCTCTCTACTCCATTCCGTTTAAGAATGTGCCTGCCCGCTCAATCTCCGAGAAAAAAGAGGTTCTTAGATCACTTCCTGATAAGGAATTATCAGATTACCCAGCAAATGAGGATGTGAACGCGAAGCAAGAAGAGGATGTCGAGGATGACCCAAGTTCGCTTTACTCGACCGTAAATAAGTAGTTTGGGAGAGTGCTGAAAAAGTATCTGGAAACCAAAAGAAGAACACTTACACAACCCTTAAATAGTGGTTTTAATGGTTCAGACTATTGAATTGTATGTTGATTAAGTAATGGACAGTCGATAATATGGTTTAATCTGGCATTGAGTTATTATACTTTTACTTACTCTGTTTTATTGATTATTTTCATAAGGACAACTTTCTATCTCAATCAAGAAAATGTAAGGTCATGAAATATTTCATTACTAAATTTTGCTCCTTAGTAGATGGATGTTATGAAATTGATACTAAAAATATGAATAAATGATTAAAGGAGAAAATCGACCAACAAACTTTGTTATTTTATTGATCTTTTTTATTGTTTTTATTGTTTATTAGTTAATACGAATCTGTACTTCATCGCTTCATCTGTTATGTGATTATATTCTTAAAGCAAGTGTATTGTATTTTAACCTCTGTATCACAGATATCCCTATGTATTTCTGAAGATAATTACATGCTTGGTTTAATTGACATGCTACTTCTTGAATGATTGACGCTTTGTTTTCTACAAAATTAATAAAATTTCATGTTTCATTTTGTACACATTTTTTGAGCTACCAGGAACATAAACCCTAACAGGAACATAAAACCGCCTCATTGTGGCCTGGACCGAATATTATATTCTACAGGCCACTAAAGATATTGGTTTACTCCATTTACATTTTACTGGGGAGAATTATAGGGGTGGGCGACATGAATTGACCCCCCCGACAATTGACCGGTCGGCGGTACCGAATTGTAGTTCTGTTCCGGTAGGGTGCAGTATAGACTCTTCAGGACAGGACATAAGTAACTAATCTAGGATTAGGATAATCATAGAATGAGGACGAGGATGAAGCGGGATATATTGATGATGAACAGACAAATAAAAACTTAGACAAGTTATTATAGTGGCGAAGTGGATATTGACTCCTGGACGTTTTCTAAAAGAAAATCCGGATGTATTTCTCTGGAATTGTATCAGTATAGGATTCTGGTTATTTATTGGAGCAAATGCTTTATAAATATCATGTTTCTTTCTAACGGTGGCTGTAACTGTATTTATGTTCAGAGCAAACTGTATCGGTATTTACACTTGTAAAGTAAGGTTGAACCTGGTCTAATATTCTAGTTGAGTAGTTCTATTTTCTAACATATTGAAGTTGGATGTTTGTCCCGTATTTTGCATTATCGAGGTCCGTTTTGTTTTACTTATTAGTTATTGTATAATGTGAACCCGTATTGATATTCATTTGTTTGAAAATGAAATTATTCTGTTTGCTGCTCCAATTGCTACTCCTTAATGAGGTAAGAATTTGTCCTTAATTCATATCGGTTTATGTTTCATGCTGTATTTAATATATCACTTTTTAACTTAACTTTTTATTTTATTTGGAACAATTGTTCATGCTTAATCAAGGTTAATTTTCTGTATTCTTCAAATTAGACAATTAAGTTATTTTTGGGCCAGGTTAACTGTAGTGGAAGCGGACAGATACAGTTTATGAGATACACAGATGTTAAGGACATGGATTCGTAATCGAGAACTAAGAACAGCAGTGAGTTCTACTTCAGTCCGCTTATGATATTGGATGAAGACAACAACATCCTCCACGAGATTAAGAAACTCAGAAAGAGTTCTGGAGTACACAAGATCTTAATTTAACTCTGGTGGAGGAACTGAAAGATCCAATTAATTTATCTCTCCCTACCAACAAAAGTGTCACTGTTACAATCAGTGTCTATGATTATGATGGTACATCTAGCTCGGACGATTTCACAAGGAATATGACGGACATGGTTCCATTTTCCAGCAAACAGGTTGGGAAGGAATGGAGTGAGATAGTGTTCAGCTCCCCTGATAAAGGAGCTACCCTCACACTTAGGTACAGAATACTTGAGTGTGATGAGCACTTCACCGGATACGGCTGTAATCTCTGTAGTGATGGATGGACTGAAGAACTATGTGACAGATGTGATACTCACTACTATCCAGCGAGACAATGCACAACATTCTGTAAGGCCGAACCTGGTAGATCCTTCTGTACTTCTGAAGGGGAGAGAATATGTGAAGAGAACAGAGGGGGCGAGGATTGTGAGAGCTGTCTAGAAGGGTGGACGGGGGAAGAATGTGCTGATTGTGCTGATGGTTATTACCCTCAAGGCAGCTGTAGCACTTACTGCGACCAGTGAAAGGTAACTACACATGTGACCTGAAAGGACAGAAGATATGCGCAGAAAGGAAGACAGGAACTAACTGTGACAGATGTGAGATTCATTATTTCGGCGAGGAATGTTCCACGTTCTGTAAGGCCACTGAGTACTACACTTGCTCTGATGGCGGGAAGAAAAGCTGCTCAGACGATAATGCCAGTCCCGAAGAAGATTGCATTGCATTGCCAGTTCCGAAGAAAAATAATATTGTAATGATAACAGGCATCGTAGTCGGAAGTGTACTTGTAGTGTCTTTGTTGGTGAAGATAATCCTTGTTTATAGGCTGAAGAAAAATAATAACCAGAAGGACCCCAAGAAGCAACAAGACAACACACTGATCAATCCTCTTTATCTTCCAGTTGTGGCAGATCCAGTAGTGGCAGGTAGAAAAGAAGGGCCCAGTAATGATCAAGGAGAAAAGAAAAATGAATCTCGGATCCGTTTCGCCGAAGATACTGATGTGCACGTCCTTGGTTCATCTTTAGACGGAAAAGATGCCGTCTATTCCATTGACGAGAGTGAAGATACTGATGCCACCTACTCCAACTTGGATGAAGAAAATGCCATGTTTCGTGTTGCAAAGACCAAAGATGTTGATGCCACCTACTCCAACTTGGATGAAGAAAATGCCATGTTTCGTGTTGCAAAGACCAAAGATGTTGATGCCACCTACTCCAACTTGGATGAAGAGGATGCCATGTTTCGTGTTGCAAAGACTAAAGATGTTGATGCCACCTACTACAACTTGGATGAAGAGGATGCCATGTTTCGTGTTGCAAAGACCAAAGATGTTGATGCCACCTACTCCAACTTGGATGAAGAGGATGCCATGTTTCTTGCTGCGAAGAACAAAGATGCTGATGTGAGTGATGCCACCTACTCCAACGTGGATGAACTAGTTCAACACAAGCCCTTGCACTAAAAAACTTGCTGATACTTCCCCAGCGAGGTACGATTCCAATGACTCTGTTAAAGATAAGAGGATCTGGAGGGGCTCTATTCCACTCCACACTGATAGACAGTCGATTTTAGTTTAGTCTGGCATTTAGTTATTATACTTTTACTTATTCTGTTTTATTGATTATTTTCATAATAAGGACAACTGTCAATCTCAATCAAGAAAATATAAGTTCATGAAATATTTCATCACTAAATTTTGCTTCTTAGCAGATGTATATTATGATGAAGTTGATTCTACAAATAAATGATGAAAATAGAAAATTGTCAAACAAACCTTGTTATTTTATTGATATTTTTTATTGATTTTAGAGTTGTTATTTATATTAGTTCATATAAATTTATACTTCATCGCTTCAGCGGTTATGTGATTATATTCTTAAATCAAATCTAATGATTTGTAAATCCTCAAAATGTTGTTTATTGTATTTTAACCTCTGTATCACAGATATCTGCTATGCATTTCTAAAGATAATTATACGCTTGGTTTACCTTACTCGGGAATATTATAGCGGGTTAATTTATGACTGGGAAAAATATGGCGGAATTTTCCAAAACCCACCAAGCATCAAAATGTATTACTATTAGTTTACCTTACTCGGGAACGTTATAGCGGGTTAATTTATGACTGGGAAAATTAATGACCGGGAAAAATATGGCGGAATTTTCCAAAACCCACCACTTTATCCCAGTTAAAATATTCCCGAGTAAGGTAGTTGATATGCTACTTCTTGAATAATTGATGCTTTGTATTCTACAAAATTAATACAATTCCATGTTTTACTTTGTACTGCTTACAGAAACCTGACAGGTAAGTGTGAACTTTAAGGGAGGTCCCACAATTCATGACAAAATCAAATCAACACACAAATTTACAAAACGTGGGTGGTAACTTATCCAACACTACATTGTAATCTGTGGTAACTTCTCCAACAGTACATTTTAATTTGTACGTCTCGTTTCCCACGAACTTTCACCCGTCTGTCTTTGAACGCATAACAAAACCTTCATATCGTAATAATACATCTGTTACTATTCAGCATAACAGTATTAATACCTTACTTAATGCTCAATATAATACTTTGGAAGGTGGTAGAGTGTAACAGTGACTGTTATCTGGATGTAGCCATGAAGCCAGGTTTACATATGAGGGACCACATGCAAAACTGGTATATCTGTTTTTGATAGTTTTGAGATAAATGCATTTTACTGATTTAAAGATTCTATATCATGTGTAAAAAACACTTCTAAAAATTGGTATATCTGTCTATATACCATTTTTTAAACTAGAATTGTACCAAAACTGGTATATCTCACGATATACCATTTTTACTATACTATAAACAATAAAATAATTTAACTGAGAATGGTATATCTGAAGATATACCATTTGGGTTGGCTAAAGTCTATAAAATGTGTATAGATATACCGGTTTTATAGAAGATAAGTTTCTTGAAGGTGGTCTATCTGCAGATATACCATTTTGTTTTCATGATTGTTAAAAGCTAAAATGGTATATTGTAACATATACCAGTTTTGGAAAAATAAAATTTCACTTTTTTTCAAAGATTTCTTCAAAATTGTTCAAAAAAAGTTCCAAAGATGCACCTTTTCAGCCTGAAGACTATGAGCTACCTGCGCAAAATTGGTATATGTTCAGATATACCAGTTTTGCATGTGGTCCCTCATATAGTGTTATCAGTATTTGTTACAGCTAATAACGTGGACATATCCCTACAAATGTAACCGTGGTAATCGTTACTAATTACTATGGTAACTGATGTCATGGGAACTACCTCGGGTATTGCTTTTCACTGAGACTGGTGGTAGATAGTTTCTGGTCATAGAAAATCTTTTTCTCCAGTGAAATCTAGGAAACTTGATTAAAATTTTGAAATTTTAAGATCTTTAACAAAATTTTATGAATTGTGAGTGACCCACTGTGAACAGATTCCACTCTTGACGTCATAGCTTTATTGTATGGTTCTCTTAACTCAAAAGAATAACGGTCAAGGAGCTTAAATTATGAGTTTTCGGTAAAGTTGTAAGGTAAAAAGTTCACTAATTAGTAATTACCACACTTTCTATTGTTAAACCGTGATGTCAAAAGTACACATTGTTCTAGAACTATGATGTTGTGTAGTATGATGTCAGTTAAGTAGAGGTATCTGGTAGTTGCAAAAGATAAAAAGTTCAGTAATTACCACACACTTTCTATTGTTTATCCTCTGTGTAGAACGTGAGGTCAGAAGTACACATTGTCCTAGAAGTAAAACTCTGAGGTTGTTTATTCATGTGTTTATAGCTGTTCTGCTATACCAACTTTGAAATCAAGTTTATTAGGACATTTTTTTATTGATTGATTGTGTATTGAATTGGTGATAAATAATAAAATTGTCTTTTCTCAAAAATTGTCTTTTGTCAGTGTTTCTAATTTCTATTTAAGGGGACATATACAAAAAGCTTTTATGTCCCGAACAGGCTGTAACTTCATATTAAGAAAGTATACATTAAAACAATAAGATTTGATACATTAAAAATTATTTTTGAGGAACCGCACTTTCGAAAAAATAAATATTTTCTTTTTCGAAAATTTTGAAAATTTTGAGAAGTCTGTCACTGTTATACCGATATTTCAGTCGTTTTTAACGTTTTTTGGCTGATTTTTTTACTGAACATTACTTACACTCCGTACAAGAAGCCCTTCAAAGGATTTCATAATTAAAATATAGATGACGAAGTTACAGACCAAACAAGGTCGAGAGAAGCAAAATTGAAATTTTTGTAAAAATCAAAGTTGTATATTTTACCATTCACCCAGGTCATAAGATATCGCTTTAAAAATTCTTGTGAGTGTAGCTGATGATCATATCCAACTTTATGGAACAGGATTTCTCTCAGTTTTGAGTTTTAAGGTATGAAATGTGGCCTAAACGACTTAATGAAATTCACCGTAAAAAAGGACCAAACATGGCAGATTTAAGGCTTAAAATGCCTATAACTCAAAAAGTATCAGTTTTTTTGAAATAATTTTTACAGGATCGTAATCAGCTTGGTAAGACGAATCTTTTAGTACCAAATTTATAATAGTTAAAGACACAAAATTTGTAAAAAAATGTGTACAATTTGTACAACATTTATACAAGGGGGGACCCTTGTGTTCGAGCTGGAAAATTATTTAAGACAATTTGTCTTCTAAAATCACCTATTTGGTACTAAAAGATTCGTCTTCTCAAGCTGATTACGATTCTGTACAAATTATTTCAAAAAAACCGATACTTTTTGAGTTATAGGCATTAAATCTGCCATGTTTGGCCCTTTTTTACGATGAATTTTACTAAGTCGTTTAGGCCACATTTCATACCTTAAAACTCAAAACTGAGAGAAATCCTGTTCCATAAAGTTGGATATGATCATCAGCTACACTCACAAGAATTTTTAAAGCGATATCTTATGACCTGGGTGAGTGGTAAAATATACAACTTTGATTTTTACAAAAATTTCAATTTTGCTTCTATCGACCTTGTTTGGTCTGTAACTTCGTCATCTATATTTTAATTATAAAATCCTTTGAAGGGCTTCTTGTACGGAGTGTAAGTAATGTTCAGTAAAAAAATCAGCCAAAAAACGTTAAAAACGACTGAAATATCGGTATAACAGTGACAGACTTCTCAAAATTTTCAAAATTTTCGAAAAAGAAAATATTTATTTTTTCGAAAGTGCGGTTCCTCAAAAATAATTTTTAATGTATCAAATCTTATTGTTTTAATGTACACTTTCTTAATATGAAGTTACAGCCTGTTCGGGACATAAAAGCTTTTTGTATATGTCCCCTTAACAATGATAACAAACTAAACTTATACTCATATCATTATTGTTGATGACTGCTGTGTGTCATGTTTCAGTACCTGAATTTTATACTCTTCAAGCTTTAAACGCAATATAAATAGTCTGATTGTCAGGTGGACCAATTAATGACGAGTTCTGCAGGTTTTAACCATGTAAAGTATGGCTAATAATTCTAACACAATATCATGATTTGTGATTTGGATTGTTTTTCGGTAAATGGTACAGTTTGGTAGATGGTACAGTTTAATAAAGTAAATAACTTAGTTCCTATGTTATGTTTCGTTACAGTTACAGCTTCGTTACAGTTGATAATCCTCATTCCTCCCTGGACTTTAAAAAATAACCCGAGAGAATCCAAAGATAAGTTTAACACAACTTACGTATTAACGCTAAAGTAATTCTCATTATTCTAAAAATGTGAGAATCTGTTTTAGTTAACAGATGATAATGTTCCTTCCTTCATACTTCCCGTCAGAGCCGATGTTTCAATTTATTTTTAAAATAGCCTGGTTTAACCTTAGAAAATCGAATGATCGGCAGTCATGATTTACGGACAATCTATTTTCGAGTAATGCTTTACTTCTTTGTTGGTGATCGTTGTTGAATACTGAAGTTTATAGCCTTCTTGTGTTCCTTTATTGAACTGACATGTTTGGTAGCTTGTTCTCTCTTATTGTTAGGTTATAAGGTTAAGTAATGTAAGTTAAGTTATTTAAGTTAACTTAATTAAGTTATTACCAGCCGGCATAGTGTCTGTCTACATGTTCCCTGTCACTATATAACCTGGTATTGGGTGCTAGTAAGTTTATAGCTAAGAACGAACTCTAAAGTCTAACCTAAATCCGTCTCTCGCTAACTTACCGCTGAAAATAACTTCCGGATTCCCATATATACTCAAAATGTAGAGTGAAAATTGTTAGCATTCCAGAGCCAGCATTTGCGTTAACTGGGTCCAATTAACAGGTTAATAGATACTTCCTACAACTGGACTTTGCTTGTTTAGTTACTGAACAGCGTCTGTAATTGATCAGCACACTTTTATGTTTGATTTCATCGAATTCATAAAGTTCCCCTATTCTGGAATGTTACAGTACAGAGCCATGTATATTGTATATAATATATTTTGAAACCTAGATATTTGATGTTCCCTTTCATCGCAAATTAAGGACAATTTCACCCTTGTTAATTCACAATACTATATGGGTTCTCCTCTCAGAGAGTATCGTCTGTTGGGATTGAGAACTTGCTGTCACGTGATGGCTATGTTCGGGTTTGATTGGTCGGTGTGTTTCACGCGATTGGATATGCTCTTTGTTTTGAATTTGAGTGAATCTGAGAAAGTATATTTGGCTTTTGTACCGTGTTTGTATCTGTAGTGTGCTAACACATTCAGCACCCCACACAGCTGTCTGGTTCGTCCAGTACAGTGCACCTTAGCAGTGGTTGTTTGCTTGTTCCGGAATAGTGCCCCCCCCCCCCCCCCCCCCCCATTCTTCAGTATAATCTTAATGGTCCAATTAAACCCACTTAATCCTTCTCATTCCACCCAACCAATCTCTTCAGATCCCTCCTAAACATCTGGCGTAAATCCAACAACTAACTCCGTAATATCTCTACCCTCTGATTGGTTGATTCCGCCCACGTGACCAGAACACTGTCCCTCTATTGGTGGAGAGCTTACCATCTGGTCGGATTGGTAGCAGGTCCCTTATTAAATAAGAAGAGTTAGGTCCAGCTATTATATTGCACTTGCTGGGACGCTTCATGTTACCCTGGATAGTGGGAAACATGGGGTCCTCTCAGAAACAGGGGGTTATATAGCTCCCTGACTAACAGGGGGTCCTACTCCTATAGCTCCCTGCTCCTTGACTAACGTTCTTTTTAACTGGTTTGTAGCTTTAGGTTCCTTAATGGCAGTAGTGGTTATGCAGATGTTTTGGTGTATACGGGTTCTTTGATCTTGTCCAATGGATTATGTGAGTTTTGGACGCTACCGCTTTCGTTGAATTTATGAAATATACCCTGATTCTGATTTGATAAAAACCTGATGATATGTGAGGTTCATTGGTTAAGTGTAAAACTTGGTTTTAGAGTATTGATACGAATGTTCGTTAGCATATGGGGGAGTTTCTTTACCGCACAAGCACTAAATTCGTCAAAACCAGACATTTAATCGCATTTTCGCACCCTTCCAGTCGATTTAGCATAATCTTAATTTCATTTAATGCTTTCTTCACAGATGGATTTTAAATAGAATATTCGTATCCTGATAAAATATCCCGATACACTACATAGATGCAGTGAAAATATGATACCTTGTTTCGTTTCCCTCTGTCATACCCCTCCCATTGTTATAATCTGGCAAATTAATATTTCCAGAAAAGAGAACAAAAGAATAATATTTTGACGGGACTAATTCTACTGGGTTCGTGACTCAAATCATAGGCAGATAATGTTATTTAATGTATTGTTCCATGATGTTATCGGATGAATAAAATGTCTGGTATTTTTACCCCTGATTCGGTTAGTTCGCATCTGGTAAAGTGTGTTGTGTCACATTCCCCGCTGTTGTGATTGATTGTAGGATTGTTGAGTATTGTTTAGTAATGTGATAGGACAACACGGTGCCTCCCATAGTACTTGGTCACATAATCCTATAATACTCGCCTGTATATATAATACTAGTACTCGCCACTCGGCTGTATATTAGGACGCAATGAAACTACCGGACCACGATGTATGGGGACTTGCCACCCCGTGGCAACATTAAAATATATCGACTCTGTTACATCGTTTCCTCAAATTATTTGTTATAAAGTAGTGTTGAAAGTATTAAAAAATATATATATTCTCGGTATATATTCTTGACAAACTGGTTAATCCCAGGTGCAGTTCTCTCTCAAAATGTACCGTTGTTTGTTGTAAAAGTTTTTTAAATGAGGATGTGTGATGGTTACTGCTTAGAACGCTTCTAAAAGCCCCTAGTTGTTGGTATCAGATAGTTTTGTGGTTTTTCAGTATATAAGCTGTGTTCTTTTGGTTGAGCTGACTAATACTAAGTACTAAGAAGTCTCTACAGAATTTGAATTGTATAGTTTTGGTGTTTTGACAGGCCACAAAGGAGTACATTCTAAGTTTTAAAGTGTTATCTAATGTAGTTGAGATCATTAGATTTTGAAGGAAGTTGTTAGGGATCTGTAATTGAGTCCCTCAATCCTGGTATGCTGATTGGGAGGTCTAATGTTTCTTACATTAACCAGTAAACAGTTATCACGGTGTAGTTAACATTGTTGTTGTAGACGTCGCTTTTTTAGAAAGGAATAGTAAAGTTTACTGTGTCTTATACATGCTTTGAGAACGGTTAGTTTGCAGACAACGTAAAATGTTTTGCAGATAGGATTCGTATCAGTTTGTTCACAAAAAACGTGGATCTGAAATTAGAATTGCTCTTGTGCACTGTGCAGGCAACAAAGTTACCAGGTTAAGGTATTTTCTACCCATGGTCTTATACTTGTTGAATGATTGATAGTTGTTAGTTGAAATGAAGGAACTATCCCCTCCATAGCTTGACATAGGATTGATTGTTGATAAAATTCAAATAAATGTTCATTTTTTTCTATAACCCTTTCCTTGAGTTACTAAGCGTTATTTAAATAATTTTAGTTGGTTTTTACTTTTCGTTCGATGTCGTGCGGGACGGAATCAGATTCGTCGGAATGGGAAGACGACCCGGAGTTCATACACGGTAAGTTGTATACATTATACACGGTAAGTTATTTAAATTACATACGGTAAGTTATTTAAATTATTAACGATACGTTATATAAATTATATACGGTAAGTTATATAAATTATACACAATAAGTTATATAAATTATAAACGGTACGTTATGTAAATTATACATACTGCGGTCTAGGAAATCATAATTATGCTGACTCACTCAAATTGTGGAAAGAAATCAGGACTTCCTGTCACGACATGTGCAATACCCGAACTAAATGTGAAAATCTATAATCTATATTACAGTCCTTACCCGTTACACAACTCGTTTAATAGACGTGAAATATGAACAAACACACTGTCTGTGTGTAGGAACCAAACTGGTTGTAAACAGTAAAATATTTTAAATTTTTGAAGGTTTTAAAAATCGCTACTCAACATGTTTCGTTTTTGTTTAAACTTTGTGTCGCGAGCTCCAAAATTCAAGTCAAATTACGGACAAATTATTCAGCAACCCTCTACAAATGTCATTTCCTTGCATTCAAATCGTTGTTTTCCGTCTGCACAGAGTCTATATTGAGACATTATATACTGATTTTATTGCATTTTACTTGCTTCCACAAAGTTCTAAAAAGGCAATTTCAGATTTCTGTGGCAAATTTTCAAACTTTCCTGCGTATTCCATCAAAATACAAATGCCGTACTATTTAATATGTTAATCTCAGAATCTAATTTACCGTCTCATTTCCTCCCACCCCTCCACGTGTTTGTCAATGTGAAACAAGACAACTAGAAACGTGTGCCTGACCGTTTTTAACTGAAATATCTGCAGCATCATCTCTGAACAGAACTTGTGAAGGATATTTAGAGTTTACTAGATTATCATCACGTCGACGTCCTACAACTGACACTGACAAGCGGAATCGTCAGGGAGCTCGCCAGCTGCACGTTTCACACGCTTCCAGGCCGTGGGATAAAGACAATAACGCGTGCACTGTACACGTGACTCGTCATAAAGACAGGATCACGTGATGCCCTTTTTTGGTAGTGACAGGATCACGTGATACCTATATATGGTAGTGAGCCATGCTGTTTCTTGCGACTCCTCTCCTTGTCCAGTTAGAACACTGGTTCATTGCAGAGGGAGAAGAGTGATTACTACTGGTAATATTACGTGGAAAACATAATGTTTAGGTGATGTGCACTTTTGTGCAAACTGCGCAAGTTTCAACCTTCTACGAGGAATTTATTTTTTAAATGGATCTTAAAAAAGTCGTGATTTAAACCCGTGAACTCGTGCACAATACCACACGGCAGCGTGGTACCTGTGGGAACCATCCTCAAATTCTCATTACCGTTGTCAAATTGTCAATTCCTATTGAGTTTATATGAGAAAACACGTTGACTAACTCAATAGTTCAATTGAAACCAACGTGATAAGTGACAAAAACTTATCACGTGATCAATAAAATTATGACACAATAAAAATTTTGGTGTGATCGTGGTATCAATAAATACCACCCTCATATGTTCCCACAGCACATTATAACCAGTTCTTTATAAAGTTGCAGCGGGAAGAACGGGATACATCACTTCCTGTAAAACGATGTTATTTTCAGTTCTTCAAGATTTTTACTTTTCCGATCATTCTTAACCAGTTTTCGAACTTATAACAATTTTCATCATCATTCAAAACTAATTGCTGATCAGAATTTATAACGTATTTATAAAATATAAACTAAATCTCCCCAGTCTAATTCTATAACTCAACTCACAGTTGTCTCACCTAATAACTAAATTTTTCACCGATTAGGGAGACATTAAGCGCAGTGATACTACAACTGCAACTTTAAATAGAAAATAATAGACTAGCAACCCACGTCCTTATATAGATTATATATGTAGTGAGAATAGTTAGTAGTAAAGTTTAGAGTCGTTCTCTAAGACTAGCGGGCATCACTGGTATGGTGACGACTATTGGGCGTGCTAATGTCACTTTTTTACGCTTATTTTTACTTTAATTTTACCTTCGCAATGTCTCTTCCCAGTTTATTTTTAATTCATTGCTTTATTAATACCAAATTTCTCCCTCTTGCTGCTTTGCCACAAAGATTTTGATTGTTGGTACTGGTTTTCACCCGATCAGTGTCTATAACACAGGAATTGGATACAAAAACTGGAAGTGTGGTATCCAAACTGTGCTTCACACCTAATCACGCAATTCTGCCCGTTTTCTATTTTAATAACTGACTATTGTTCCATTTCCTTGTTTTGGATATCACGGCTCCTGGTAGTGGGCCACCAATATTGTTATTTATTGACGAATGTGCTGGCTAAATCATTACATATTGCAACACACATACACCACCTTATATATATATATTTGTAAAATAAATGTAAATTAACTAAGTCTACACAAAGCCAAAGGTACACACATCACCCCTGTAAATGGGACTTTCCCCCGTTTTTCATGAATCCACAAAGTTTAATAATAAAGTTACAATTAGTGTTCAGTGTCCTAGCTCTGTTTCTTCTTCGGAGTAATGATTCCCAATTCTCTGAAATAGGTCTAATATCCCAATAATTGCACCCTTACAGCTACTCAATATCTGTCAACTTGTTACCTTTGTTGCAGCATGTTCCCTGTAATAGTTTAATTTGTTTCCTGACTTTCTCTCTCCAGATCTTGTATTGTAACGGTGTGTTTTCTGTCAAGTAAAGCTTTTTAAATTGTTTGCTTTTTTAGTCACTTTTGGTCCCACACGATAAAATTAATTTTCTATTAGTTTTCTGAAAGAGTGAGCTAATGTCTAAGTATAGTTAAAACTTTGAAATTCTGAGACACTGCGAACTGCGAATGAGTCTCCCGAGCTAGGAGGAGTCACTGTCCTATTAGTAGACATCTGTAGAGACTGATTACAGTACACAAGAGGACGTTAATTAATACGGAACAAGCGTCACGTGATGCCCATGTAAGGTAACACTTCACACGTGATGACCTTATAAGGTAAAACAGGACCATTCCGGTAATAGAGTCTGTGATCAGTAAAACCTATCACCACTAATCAATACACGGTTATATAGCGAAATACAGCTCCATCACTCAACAAAAGGGTGTTTTCATACTCTAATTCATCTGATCACGTGAGGTAATTCATCTGATCACGTGATCACAGTGACAGCTCGCTTTGGCGGTTCGCGCGTTTTTGACGCATAGTAAAAGCCGTATGCCGCGGAAAACCGCTAAGTTCTTGGGACTCTCTCAGATTCAATTTGCACACCGTCCACAACTAATGGGAGCTGGGTTGTATTAGGGGGTCGTTCTTTTAAATATTACCTTGTGTTTGAACTTTGAGTTAGGTGCAGTAGTTAGTGATCATGTTGCTCATCCATGTTAAGTACTGCCAACAGTTGACAGCTACAGACATGAAAGTACCATCGGAACGTGTCAACGACTTTCTGGGACATGATATAAAACCATACATGGTCAATAGCATGACCATATATGGTCATATTACCTCAGCGTTAGGTCACGTGGTGTTCCGTCCTGCACGTGCTGATTGTAAGTAGTTGTTATGACGTCACCAGGGGGATGCCCTAGAGAGGGTATAATCGGTAACAAAAGACAAATATATCACACTCACCTCACTGGTAACTAAACGTCTTGACCGACTCATCACCGTCAATCAAATATATCCAACTTTGGATTCGTTAAATCTGAGCTATCACAGCTTTTTTTGTCGCTAATTTCGTCGCGTCGTCCAATTTGTCATCGCTTTGGTGAAAAACTTTAAGTTTTTAAAACAGTCCCCGGTTAAGGATAATTTACAGTTCTCGCTCGTTGATTAATACAGTTCAACATGTTTACTGCACAGTATTATATCCACATCTCGTGATTAAAACAGACACGTGGTGTGACGTCATGACACGTGGTGTGACGTAATATCACGTGGTGTGACGTAACATCTCGTGGCCGCTATTTATTTGACCGTAAAAGTCCTCGTGTACGGAGCTGGTTAATTATTGTTTATTGTGAGTTCAGACACGAAAACGTGTCCTCTGTTGCTGGTCGCTGTTTTCCAGGGAGGGATGTGTTAGTTTCTCCAGTTAGTTTCCCTCTGCCAGCTTGTTCGCCGTCATCTCAACCGGATCTTTGTAGAGGACGGAAGTGGCCTGTTGGCTTGTCCTCTTTGTCCTCTTTGGCTTGTCTTTTTCTACAATTTCTACAAATGCCCTCCTTAAGTTTCCGTCTGGTTAGTCGATTAGACACAGTTAGGAACTCTTTTTTCTTCTTGGGATCTGTATTTAGATAATATGGTGCAGGGTGCTGTCATAACCAAATACTGATTGTTTTTGTTTTGTGTAAATTATGAAGTTTAATATCTGTTTAACTATGACATCATATTTTACTGGAGATTTGATTCTGGTCAGGGAGAACGCTGGTCCCTTCCTAGGTGGTGCCCTACTAAAAAACTGTTAAAACGCCACAAAATACATAGTCATACCTATCAGGTATATTGATATTTGATACTTAGGTTTGTAGCTGTTGACGTTTTTATGAAAACTTGAAATAAACGTCTCAAAAGTTTTAAACTGTAGTATGATGACTCATGAGTATCCTAAAATGAACAACAGGAAATTATTCACTCAGCACCAAGTCTCAGCGCTCTTTGCACCACCTACAGGCTACGCTCAACGCTGTCAACATTTTCAACATTTTCTGTCAACATTTGTCATTTTCTGTTTCATCTTCATGTCAATATCCTTGCTCTTTCCGCCGCAAATTTTGAGAGGCCGGCAGAATTCTTATATAATATATTTGTCATCGGTCAACATCAAAACAGTAATTTGTCATATTGTAACTTGAACAACGCTAGAACTCTAATAAAAGTCACAAAGGAAACCAAGGAACAACACATGTTATTAGTTATAGGGCAAAATTATACCGTCATACAACCTTTTCATTTGTATGTATTCATTTACTGCTTCAAACGTGAAATCTACTAAATATCACGTGATTCTATTTTTGTACTAGGGCTTTTCGGTTTCCCAATAAAGCACTCATCTCATTAAATTCCGACCTATTCTACCGTTTCAACTCAGATTGGAATGCTATATTTGTCCTAGGAGAGCCCGGTCTCCTCAAATTTCCCACCAAAGTTCTCCAATGGATTTCAAGCTTTTCCAGCCCCTGTCACCACTAACATTCTAAACGTAAGATAAAATATTTCCTAAAGAAGCGCACCTAAGACAAAAGGCGTTGTCATTATTGACTGTTGACAAAGTCGCTATACATCAAGCAAATCGGATATCTTAAAAAGCTGAAAAAGAGATAGGTAGAGATACCGCTAATTGCGTTAGCTCCGGTATTTGAACTGAACTATATGTTACCGCGTTATTATATTAGTGAGTCGCCGAAATTGTGAATAATTTCGGGATAAATATAGCTACCTTGTTATAGCGCTCGCTCCTTTATAAATATAGCTATTATTTTATTATAAACTACTATTCCCGATACTATTAGGAATTATGTGTCCTCGCTGAAGTATCTAACGTTTAGCGTTAATCGTCGATATATCTGCTGTTGTCTTCTATCATATCAGTCAATAAGGTCAATACCGAACACTTATTTTACTTAACTGTTACTGTTTAACGATGTTACTAGGATGTTAAATTCAGTGCTTATACTCCTTACTCCTTACTCCTTACTCTTTAATCCTTACTCTTAATCCTTACTCCCTACTTCTTACTCGTTAATCCTTACTCCTAACTCCTTAATCCCTACTCCTTATTCCTTACTTCTTACTCCTTACTCCTTACTCCCTACTCTTTACTCCTTACTCCTTACTCCTTACTCCTTACTCCTTACTCCTTATTCCTTATTCCTTACTCATGACTCCTTACTCCTTAATCCCTACTCCTTAATCCCTACTCCTTATTCCTTACTTCTTACTCCTTACTCCTTACTCCTTACTCCCTACTCTTTACTCCTTACTCCTTACTCCTTACTCATTACTCCTTACTCCTTACTCCTTACTCCTTACTCCTTACTCCTTACTTCCTACTCTTTACTCCTTACTCCTTACTCCTTACCCCTTACTCCTTACCCCTTACTCCTTACTCCCTACTCTTTACTCCTTACTTCTTACCCCTTACCCCTTACCCCTTACCCCTTACCCCTTACCCCTTACCCCTTACCCCTTACCCCTTACCCCTTACCCCTTACCCCTTACCCCTTACCCCTTACCCCTTACTCCTTACTCCTTACTCTTTACTCCTTACTCCTTACTCCTTACTCATTACACTCTATTGTCTCACGTAATGAGACAATAGAGTGTAATGAGTAAACTAACTGATGACATCATTTCTTGTTCTCCGTAGCAGATAAACCCAATAATATTAAATAATCCACAAAGCCCGTCCTAAATTTTATCGGTACAAAGTCTTCCTGCATTCCGGGTAAATTTTGCTGGTTTGAAAGACGAGCTTTTGTCTGAGTTTATTTTAAACACGTTTACTTAAAGTTACGACTTACTAGGTGATCGGCGGTCTGCCGAGTCGATTCTTAAAGTGCTATTTCGAACAAATATTTACTTACTGTATTTACACACGATTGGTTTCTTGCTTTCTATAAATAGTAGTTTCAAATAAATGCAAGAACTTCAGCCATTTTCTACGGTGTCAAATAGAGTGTCTATCACTATTAGGGACAGTTTCTTACTATTCATTTTGTTGCTCCCATGTTATTTTCCCACTTTGTCACTGTATTTACTCACATTATAGGCGCTGATAAAACACCCGATATCTGATCTAAGGGGGTGTTATAACTGAATGAAGGTGTTTGCTAGAACCGTCTCCGGGGGAAAACAGAAGTGTACTTGCTGGAGCTTGGGAATAGGTTCGTGTTTAACGGTGTAGGGAGTTAAAGTGGGATCTTAGTTTATTATCCAATTATTACTTTCGACACTGCTATATAACGAATAATTTTAGGACTTATAATATAGAACAACTACGGAGATGTCATCCGAATTGTGGTGTTTTACTCCCTATTTAACATATTATATTATGCAATTACACACTTGCAATCCACCACGTGAATTTTTATATCCAATCATCATGAATTCGTATTTTAGTTGAGATTGTATTATCGCGCCTCTTACTGTTGTGACGGGCCCTTGTCACTGTCAGGGCCTTTATGTTGAGTTTGTCCGTATGGGTATGACAACTTGTTAGGCATAACAAACAATATAAATAATCCCAAAATAAATCCCAACCCTGCTCGTTAAATAAAGAAGCAAGGGTTGAACATTTTAAAACTCCCATTTAATATATAATTCCTCAAAAAGTTATTACGATAGATTTTTAAAGTGTTTCTGAAAAACAAAATGCCCGCGCCAAATTCCTGAAATTCCTGAAATCTCGCAATTGATTTCAAGAAACACTAACCTCTCTACTAAACGCTACTTCCCTCAAAATAAATTTTGCGAAGTTCAAATTCAGTAAATTCTGTGTTTCGTTCAGAGTTCAGAGTTCACTTAAATATTATAAGCATGTTATTGATATTAACATTAGCATCAGCAAATCTCAATTTACCATCTTATATTTCAGGACTGTGTGCTAAGTGCAAAGAGAATATAATAGGACATGAGAACGGGTGCAAGGCTTTGGGAGCGCTCTACCATGTAAACTGCTTCGTTTGTCAGAAATGCAGTAAGTTTCGTTTGTTTTCCTACTTGTAGACATAGTTCTGGTGGGGAAATGAGAGATATTTATTGACACGCAATCTCACGAAAGCTTTTCAAACGAACGAGTTTTAGCTGACTTCAATCTGTGCCCACGGGTTAAATTTAACATATCTGTAATCTAAATACCACTCACCTCCTAAACACTTTCGCTTTCATTTTAACAATACCGCACCTGCAGGAGACCCGCTAGTAAAGAAGCCGTTCTACCATACCGACGGACTGACGTATTGTGAGAAGGATTATCTGGACACCCTAGAGAAGTGTGATGTGTGTGAGGAGCACATTAAGGAGAGGGTAAGTTTACAATCAACCGATAAAAATACTGTATTTAATCACCTGAACCATAGATTATTTCATAAAGTGAAAGTAAATGTGAAACTGAAAGTAGAAGTGAAAGTGTTTTGTTTCAGATCCTGAGAGCGGTAGACAAACAGTACCACCCTGAATGTTTTAAGTGTACAGATTGTACAAACTGTTTGGACGGTGTTCCCTTTACTTTAGACGCTACTAACAACGTTCTATGTGTGCAGTGTTACAATAAGTAAGTTATATTGTGTTTACTTTTAATACTTAGATTTATTTAAGTTTTATTTAAGTTTTATTTATTAATTGAGTTGGCTAGTTTTAATCAGCATGTTTCAAGTAGTTAGTTATGTTGATTTAATAATTGTACTGAAATTGATGCCACCCTCAGTGAAATCGTACCATTCATTACTTTTTAACCCCAGAAAGTTTGCGTACACGTGTGCTTCGTGCAGTAAACTCATCGTGTCAGAGGACGGCGCAGAGACCTACCGAATCATCGCAATGGACAAAGATTTCCACGTTGCCTGCTACAAATGCGAGGTGAGTTTCGGTTTCACTTTCACTTTCATACGTTGGAAACAAAGAAGTTCTACTTTATTCTGATTTTAGTTTATTCTGGGGATTCTGATTTTAGTTTATTCTGATTCTAGTTTATTCTGATTCTAGTTTATTCTGATTCTAGTTTATTCTGATTCTACTTTATTCTGATTCTAGTTTATTTTGATTCTAGTTTATTCTGATTCTAGTTTATTCTGATTCTAGTTATTCTGATTCTAGTTTATTCTGATTCTAGTTTATTCTGATTCTAGTTTATTCTGATTCTAGTTTATTCTGATTCTAGTTTATTCAAATTCCAGTTTTATTCAATTTTATTCTTTATTAAACTCTTAATTCCCAGGTGTGTGATTCGAAGTTTACAAACGACGAAGGACAAGGATGTTATCCTCACGAGGACCGTCTCTTGTGTCACACTCACTACAAAGAAGCTGTAGCTCAATAGTTCAACACAGGAAGCAATTTGTAAAACTCTTTCCTCAAACACAAGGAAATATTTTTCTGCGTCGTATTTATTTATTAGGGAAGAGCTGGGTAGTTAATTGTTGGATTGTTTTTATCCCTCTGTGGGTGGGTAGGTAGTTTGGTTAGGTAGATAAAGATATTTGTAATGAAACATACCACTTACACAATGTGAAATGATCATGATATCATCAGTCATGAATTTTCTCTTTTATTTGAACTTCGATTGAACCTGCAATTCTGGAGCCCCACTGCATTTTGTTCCGATGCCAATTTTTTTATTTAGCGTGGAATATGTGGCTGGGACCCTAGGAACTGCTACAGGTGAACAATATTTCGTTTTAGAAAATTTAAGTTTAACTTAGCTTTTTGATAGACGTAAACCTGTGATAGATTATCAATGGTTGTAAACGTATGTATCATAAGATTGAAATACTTACGACGCCATATTTTAGAATTTAAATAGCATAGAATTATCTACATATTAAGATATGTAGAATTTTTGATAGCTTAAATTTAAAGTTTTAAACAATTGTAAATACACATTTCTGTTTTTAAATGAAAGGATTATGATATTGATGCAATCTCACTCTGCAAAACACCACATGGATAAAATGCCTCCATGCACCTGTGTTAATTTTGTACAGTACAATTAACTATATAGAGTACGTTTTTTAAAGCCTTCTTTGGAACAGTTTAGAACATTATATTATACCAGTGATCGATATCAGTTTTCTATGTTTTCCATAAATTTAAATATGTAGGCTCGACTTCAATTAAGTGGAACACTATATCAATTAAAGCTGAAGTTCTCAGTTTTCATAAAAAATTCGGTTTTCATCCAAAATTCTCCCAATGCTCACCTGCGCACTCTGTTGATTTCTTAAATCTTATATTTAATATTTATTTTGTAAAGCAGACATCATTATTTTTGTACCACGAGATAGTGTTTGATTTAGCATTCTTTAAAGTTTAAAGTTTAACTTTCCATGAATGGTATTTATATAAGATAGCAAGATGAAGAAATGCACCCGTTTCTGGGGTTACTAGATTTTCAACCACTGCATGCTCTGATCAGTGATCAGTTCACTTTATAATTCCACGAATAAGATCCGTGGAGTCACTTTGATTCAAATTACATTGTACATTGACAGATGTTGCATTTCAATTTTCACGAAAGAAACTTAATTCTGTGTAAAATATTGAAAGCAAAAAGTGAATGATCATACTCAAGTCTGTGTCATATAGGGGTAAGACGAAATCAATCGATGAATTTACTTGCCTCACGTTGTAAGCCCGCCGCGCACGAGTGCGCGGCTGTGAAACCCCGGCATACTGATGAAACCCCGACACTAAATTGTAAATGAAATGACAATGGGGGTCACGACGTACAAGAATTCACTAGTGACTAGGTCACGCCAAAAACATGCATGACTATCGACCCTTTTGATGACCATCGATGATTGTTACCTAGCTTGCTAATTTATTGCCCGCTTCTCTCACGGATCCTGTTTTTAACACTACGTCATGGGGGGTGATTCGGAATCAGGGTCCAAAAATACACCGATCTAGATCACTTTCATGCCTAAAGGGCCTTTTCACAAGAATTTTCTTAAAATTTGGGCGAGCGATTAAGTTTACTGGGCCGCGCTCAGCCTGTCATTCCGCCAAATCTATATTCTATCTATATCTATGTTAATGAACATAATAGCCTGGGGTCCTCAGGTAAGATTAAGTAGGAGCGCAACCCTCCAGTGCAGTCTGTACACTTGACACTGTAAACATATAAGTATTATTAACTATTAATTATTAACTATGATACTCGTCTAAATTTCTTTGAAGTTAAGTACAAATAACAAAGTAGCGAAGCACTGCTTTATTCTCGACTCGAAATATTATTAGCCGGAGGCAAGTGCATGCTACGAAGTAGCGCGCGCCGGGTTAAGCCATTATTATTAACAATTGAATGGAAGATTTAATTAGCGCGAGCGAACCGCGAACGTTATGAACTTGCTGTTTAGTCGCAATCATCTTTAATATAATAACATATATAGCCGGCCCGGTGCGGTAAGTTTTAATAAATTTACTGCAGGTATAGTACTAGTAGGCTTAAATACATTGATTGACATTACCTGGGGACCTCAGGCTATTATGTTCATAACATCCGCCGAATAGAGATTCGGCGGAATGACAGGCTGAGCGCGGCCCAGTAATGATTGACAATGCCAATCCTTCACACATGTCACAGCTCGGAGCGGCCCATCGGGCTCAATAGTCAATAGTGCAAGATTGATAGTATTGCTGATATATGATCGCTACAATTTGTAGTATGGTTGCTTGATTGACGATGTCAACCCATTGAGATCGTTGCTTTGCGAAGAATGCACTAGTTCGAAAAGAATGCTAGTTCGCGCGGCGCGTCGAAGCGGCGAAGTCATCCAATATGCAGTTGCTAAAAATATTATTTGATGCGCGGCACAGCCTAGTCACAACAAGAAGTGTTACCTGTGACTTGTAGCCCGATGCACTACTGGGCCGCGCCACGCATTTTCTCGCAACCGTAGATCGGCGAGATGCACCACTGGGCCTCGCCGAGCTGGGAAGGATTGACACCGTGAATCAACTTGACGGATGTTACTCGTCTAAATTTCTTCGAAGTAGCGCGCGCCGCTTTCTTCTCGAAATTGCCCGACGGCAAGTGCTACGAAGTAGCACGCGCCGGGCCAGACCATTAACAATGGTCAATGAATCAACCTGTGACCTGGGGACCTCAGGCTATCATGTTCATAAACATAATAAAGAATAGAGATTCGGCGGAATGACACAGTAGGCCTGGCCTCAAACTGATTTCGAATGAGACATATTTGCGATTACTCAGCATTTGCTCTAACCAGAGGCCTTTCGCTTGCAGTAGCGCGCGCCTGCCGAAGGAGTATATTCTACTTGTGAAACAAGCGCGTCATGCAGTACGCGTATACACATGGCTATGTGATACTCATATCAGCATGAATTTTATTTCTTGACGAGTTATGAGCAAATAACCATTTTTGTCAGACGCGCGCACGTGAAAGGCTTGTAAAACGATATTCCAGCTGTTTATGCTTTAGGATTGGAGTCAGTTTTGGTTTTAAAGTAATTGTGAAGATAGTATAAAGATTTAAGTACAGATTTGTGCACTTTAACTTTAAGCATTTACCATAAAAATCAAAATTAGCATTTTGTTTTGTGGCAGGCAGGTAAGTTAGAAGAGTTGCTGCGAGAAGGACAGGAGATTCAGAGAAGAATGGGAAAGGGGAAACATGAACATGGCCATGTTGAGAGAGTCTTCACTCGACTTATGATGAAAGGTAAAGTCAGTGCAGCAATGAGGTGGATTGGCGAAAATGCCACCGGGATTCTTGAACCCACTCCAGATGTGATAAAAGTACTGAAAGAGAAGCATCCCAAGGCATCACCTGCATCAAAGGGAAGCTGTCTGAGTGGACCAGTGAGGAGAGTAGAGCCGGTTATCTTTGACAGTATTGACGGGGAATCGATAAGACAAGCAGCAAAGAGAGAGCAAAGAGAGTACAGGGTACAGGGTGCTGCAGGGCCTTCAGGAATGGATGCGGATGCGTGGAAGAGACTACTGTGTTCTAAACAGTTTGGTAAGAAGTGTGAGGATCTATGCAATGCTATAGCAGGGATAGCAAGGAAACTATGTGTCAGGAATCTGGATCCAACGATGTTGACCTCATTGACAGCATGTCGACTTGTTCCCCTGGATAAAAAGCCTGGCGTCAGGCCTGTTGGCATTGGTGAAGTCTTACGAAGGATAATAGGGAAGACAGTGATGACCCTCCTACAGAAGGATCTGGTTGGTGCCACTGCTCCTATTCAAGTGTGTGCTGGTCTTCAGCGAGGAGTGGAAGCAGCTGTTCATGCTGCGAGGGACTGCTTTGAAGATCCTGAAACTGAAGCCATCATCTTAGTGGATGCAGAGAATGCATTCAACTTGCTGAACCGAGAGGCAGCTCTTAACAACATGTATATTGTATGTCCAGAAGTTGCTACCTACATTATGAACACCTACAGAATGCCTGCTAGACTGTTTATTGCAGGAGAAGATGAACATCTTTTTAGTGAAGAAGGGACAACACAAGGTGATCCACCTGCTATGGGATTTTATGCATGTGGTACAATACCATTGATTGGTGCAGGAAACATTGAGAGAAAAGTGACTCAGATCTGGTATGCTGATGACTCTGCTGCTGGGGGAAAACTGGAAGAAATTAGGAAATGGTGGGATAACCTCTGCATTAAAGGACCACTTTTTGGTTACAACCCTAAATCTTCCAAGACATGGGTGATAGTCAAGCCTGAGCACGAATTGAAGGCAAGAAACTTGTTCCCAGATGTCAATGTGACAAGTATTGGTCGACGATATCTGGGCAGCTTTATCGGAACTGATGAAGGAAAAGGGGCTTTCATCGAGGAAAAAGTTCAAGAATGGTGTCATGATCTTAAACAATTAAGTGATATAGCATCACCAAGATATGGAGGATTGGGTATACCAGTTATGATGGACATGGCAGACCGAGAGTACAAATTCTCATGTAGAGCCACAAAACCCCTTAAAGAAGCTATTCTCAAGCAGGTAGACAACTACACAGAGGACTGGAGAGTAAGCAAAGGAGTGAAAACTGAGATAACAACTGAACGAAATCTCTTCTATCGACAAAAACAAGCGGAAATACGCCAGGAGCTCGAGTCAACACCACTGGCAAAGTTGATGTTCCAACTAGCTGCTGAGAAAGGGGCAAGTGCTTGGTTAACAGCACTACCTTTAAAAGAGTATGGATATCTGATGAACAAACAACAGTTCTCAGACGCATTAGCTCTCAGGTACAACCTGAACTTAAAGGACAGCCCTAAGACATGTACGTGTGGCCAAAAGTTCTCAGCAAACCATGCGCTCATCTGCAAACTCGGTGGATATGTGTCACTGCGGCACAATTCGCTGAGAGACACCTTTGCTGAACTAATGAGAACTGTGAAATGCAAGGATGTGCAGACTGAGCCAGTTCTTCTTCCAGCTGATGGTCTGAAGTTGCCTAAGGGAACAGTACTTGGAGACCAAGCTAGGCTGAACATCTCTGCAAGATCGATTTGGAATGCTTCAGAGAGGGCATATTTTGATGTAAGGGTATTTCATGCCCCAGCCCCCTCCAATGCAAGCAAATCGATCCCGGCAATGTACCAGTCCCATGAAAATGAGAAAAAGCGATGTTACAACGCAAGGGTTCTTGAAGTGGAGAAAGGAAGCTTCACACCTTTAGTGTTCTCGACTTCTGGTGGAATGGGTAGTGAAGCTGAAAGACTGGTAAAAAAGCTGGCCAGTAAGATGGAGTACCACACTGGCCAGAGGTACTCGGATGCTGTAGGTTACATCAGAAAGCGCCTTCGCTTTGAAATCCTAAGAACAACAGTGATTTCTCTCCGTGGAGACAGAGGTGCGAGAAAAAACATTGTCAATATAAACAGTCTAGATCTTAACTTGGAGCCACAAGGCCAAGGGTAATTTTTGAGTGTTTAGGGAATTTTTATATTCTTAAAGGTTTGATTTTATATAGGGTCATTGCTATATTATGTGTATATTGTTTGAATAATTTTATAAAAAAAAAAAATTAGCATTTTTACAAATGTACACAGAACGGTCCAAATCAAATCGCCACAAAATAGTATAATTGCATAGTATAATTGCATAGCATAGCATCAATGATTAATGAAAATAAACAAATTAACATTTCTCACATATCATGTATCATACTACTTATATATATAATGACTAAATGAATTTTCGAATAAAAAATTTCAATCGCTTGTACTTGTATTTTAATCATTAATAATATTCTTTATATATCATTGAGCATAAGCAGTGATACAACGTATCTCGGGATGATCCGTAGAGTCTCGACTAGTTTCGGCTTACCGCCATCAACAGGATCGCCGATCGATGAATCATCTCAAATTTGCAGATGCTACCAAGTGGGAAAGGCTATCGTTCGCACTGGTTCATATCTTCTTGCCAATCATGTTGCAAAAACCGTCAAGCAAGTCAAAAGCAAGAGACCATGTAACATATCTCACCAAGCGTTTGGTTAAATGGAAAAATGGAGAACTTGACGATCTAATGATGGAGTGCAGGAGTATTCAGAAAGCCTTGGTGCAGCAACAAAAAATCAGCGAGGAATCCAGGAAGAAGAGTTTCTGCCGACTAATGCTTCTTGGGAAAATTAAACAAGCCACCAAATTTGTCGACAGTTCCAATGACACCTCAGGAGTTCACAGCCTAACAGCAAACATTAAACAGGTCCTTGGGGACAAACACCCTCCAGCTGTTAAAGCAGATCCAGTTGTTCTGCACCCTCACATTACTCCTCCACCTCAGGAAGTGATATTTGAGAGGATTGACGCAGAGACTGTCAAGAGGGCTTGTTTATATTTGGATGGATCAGGCGGCCCAACACTAACGGACTCAGATTTGTGGAAGCATATCATCTGCAGCAAATCATTTGGCAAAGCATCAGTGACACTTGCTGAGTCTATAGCAATTGTTGCAAGGCGCCTTTGTAGAGAAGATATCCATCATAGCTGTCTGAAAGAGTTCACTGCATGCAGATTAATCCCTCTTGATAAAGGCCAGGATAAGAACGGGAAACCTGGTGTAAGACCAATTGGAATCGGCGAGATATTGCGCAGAATCATTGGAAAAGCAGTTATAATGTCTTTCAAAACTGATATACAATATGCTGCTGGCCCACTGCAGACCTGTGCAGGGCTCAAATCAGGAATAGAGGCTTCCATTCATGCAATGAGACAGATCTGGGAAGACAGTGACACTGAAGCAATACTACAGGTTGACGCTGATAATGCGTTCAATCGTCTTAATAGAGAAGCAGCCCTTCACAATGTTCATGAGATCTGTCCTCCGCTCTATCAGTATCTAAAGAACCACTACCAAAAGCCAGCAGACCTGATCATTAATACTACTGAGGACCACTACCAACTTAAGTCTGAGGAAGGTTCAACTCAGGGAGATGTAGCAGCAATGGCATTCTATGCGTTAGGGATCAAGCCTCTAGTAGATGACCTAGCCACAGCCTCCAAGCCCAGTGTTTGCAAACAGTCTTGGTATGCAGACGACAGTAGTGCTGGTGGAAAGATTGAAGGTATTAAGATATGGTGGGATACGCTGTTGGAGCAAGGGCCAAAGTATGGATATTACCCAAAAGCCAGTAAGACCGTCCTGATTGTGAAGAATAGCGAAGACCTAGATCTTGCGCAGAAAGTTTTCTCAGGCACTGGTATTAAAATTGAGTCTGAAGGAGAACGCCATTTGGGTGCAGCAATTGGCAGCGAAGCTTTTAAGAACAAATATGTCTCAGATAAAGTTCATAAATGGTGTCAGGACATCAAGCTGTTGTCATCAATTGCTGTTGAGGAGCCCCAAGCTGCTTTGACTGCATATAATAAGGGAATTTGTCACCGGTGGACGTTCATTCAGAGGACCATCCCGGGTATAAGTCACTTGTTTCAACCATTGGAGGATTGCATCAGAACAGATTTTATTCCAGCAATCTTGGGTAAGAACGTATCAGACTTGGACCGCTCCATATTTGCATTGCCAGTCAGACATGGTGGCCTAGGTATCTCCAACCCAGTTGAAAACTGCAATAGAGAATTCACAGCCTCAGTCACCATCACAAAAGACCTCACAGACCTGATTATCAACCAGCAAAACACCCTTGAACATTACAATATGTCAATTCAAAATGACACTATAAAAAGTCTCAAGGCAATCAAGGAGAAACACTTATTTACGGTTAGCAAATCAATAGAGGACAGTGTAAGAGATCCCAACCTAAAGAGATCTCTCCAGTTCATCAAAGAGAAAGGTTCAGGATGTTGGCTTACTGCACTTCCATTGAAGAGATTTGGCTACTCCCTTAACAAGATTGAGTTCCGTGATGCTCTGTACTTGCGTTATGGTTGGGAGATCCCTAACACCCCATTTCACTGTGCTTGTGGAGAGAGAAATAATGTGAATCACACACTTATATGTAAGAAAGGTGGCTATGTTTCTATGAGACACAACAACATCCGCGATCTAAATGCAGAGCTTCAGCGTGAAGTATGCAGGGATGTAGTGACTGAGCCAGCATTGATACCCCTTGATAATGAAGAAATTGTTGGTACCAATGCTGATAGAGCTGCACCTGATATATCCTCACGAGGTCTCTGGAGCACATTTGAACGAACATTCTTTGATGTCTGTGTTACCCACCCCAACTCACCCACATATTACAAAAAAGATATGGAACAGATCTATAAAGCTCATGAAATGAGGAAAATGAAAAAGTACAACAACAGAATCATCCAGGTGGAAAAAGGCACCTTTACCCCACTTATATACTCAACAAATGGCGGATGGGGTCCACAAGCCACAAGATACCACAAGAGACTCGCTGAAAAACTATCCCAGAAGAGAGGAGAAGACTATGCGGCTATTATGTGTTACATGCGCACCAGGATTAGATTCTCAATCCTCAGGAGCACCCTGATAGCGGTCAGGGGTGAGAGAGGGAGACGGCAATCGTATACATTGCCAGTCAGTGTAACTTCGTTTAACTTGATACCTGCCACCATGGACTATGAATGTTTCTAGACACTATCATATCCTTTTGATATTGAGATATTGGTATCTCAGATCACGTGTACATCGTTCCTTTTTTATGACACAGTAATTTATTGACACTCACAGCTATAATTTTAATCATTGAATCAGTATTTTTATCTGTGCTCTGCCTAATGCATCACATGAATCAGTTTTTTAATCTATTAACTTATTACACATTTGTGCTCTGCTTTAGCATCACTTGACTATTTAAAAAAATTGTTTGTCCAGGCCATGACCTTATAGTCAGCCAATTGGCCATTGCTATATTATGTGTATATTGTCTTATCATCTCAAATTATTTGTTATATAGTAGTGTTGAAAGTATTAAAACTTGGGAGGATTGCGGCTAATTAACACCCTTGCTGGACAATCTCTACTTTCCTTAACGTCAGCGAAAGCTTTATCAATAATATTCTTTTACACTCTTGATATAACAACAAATATACTTAGCTTATATAATACTCATTTTGAATTGTTTCGTGTTTATTTTTTAATGTTATTCTGTATTTTAGCCAGGTTTTCTGTATTGGAATTAATTGTATTGAAATCGACTAGCTAAATCTCTTAACACTTTCTATGCACATGCAGTTTTGTTGTGGATAATCGTATCGTCATGCAGTTTTCCACTTCTGTGAGAAACTATTTCGGAAGTATCAGAGTAGAGATTGGAAGGGTGAAGAATAATATCATCATTACAATAATTGTAATGATCTGGAGTGGGCGGAACTGGACCGTTGTTTTCTTGTAAATTTGTTGTTTTCTTGTTGAGTTTGAATTCATTTTCCGTTCCAGCAGAGCCTCCTTTTGATTTCTTTTTTGTTATACAAAATCCAGCTAGCACCAGCAAAATACACGTCAACACTGCCACACCTGATCCGATCCAAACTCGAAGGCTGACAGGTTTTGCTGAAATGGCTATGATTCAATAGTACTAGACATGTATGAATTTGATGGCACTATGACTCTATGATTAAACGGGTGCCTAAAATCAACCATATATAATTATAGCTAGAATATAATGAGCCCAATAGAATAATCAACGAAAAGTTGAAAGTGTTTTATTAAACTATAAAAATCATTCTCACCGATAACCTCAATTCTTCAAAATTTACCAAATTTCATTTTACGATTCCCATATCTATATCGCTGTGATCTATCAGGAGAGAGAGCCCACACATATTGCCAGGTAGAAGGTGTCAAAATATATCCTTATTGAACTTTATTTGGACAGACATTAATTCAAATTACTTCTGACAAGGTAGGCGAAGTGCTGTGATCGTTTGTTGCACTCTTGCTGAGAATAGAAGTATTTCATACAAGAAAGAGAAAATGTTAAAATGATACTCACTGTTCATTGTAATGGTTGTTGCACTTTCAAGGTTAGTTCCGGCAGCAAGGCCAGTGTAAGTAACAATACACTTATAGACCCTTGCATCGTTGGTAGAGGAGATGGTGATGGGGAGGGTACTAGACACCGTAGAGCTGTCTTCGGCAACCACATTTGCATCAGCTGTTTCAGTAGCAGCTGACTCTCCTAGCAGCCATGTGAAAGTTGGAGTAGTAATATCTGCATGGGACTCTGCAACACAAACCAGGTTGATGTTATCTTCAGAGTTGCCTCTAGTTGGGGTGACCAGAGGTGTGGATATGGAGAACACGGTCAGGGTAGATGATGTTGGACTGAACTCCAGTTCACTCTTTCTACATGTGAAGGTGTCCCCTTTGCTTGCTGCATCAATTGTTATCACATACTCAGCTTTTGTCTTTCCTCCTTCGAGTTTAGTTGACGATGCAGCAAGATCTTGGGAGCCATTGTGGAATCTAAGTTCAAGTTGACTTGGGGAGGTAACTTGGCAGCTAAGTGTGACCATCACTCCCGCTCCGTAGGTGCTGTAAAGGGCAGCAGGGCTTACCATCTCTATCAGGTTCAAGTTCACATTAGAGAAGACACCTTCAGGTACTGTCAATGTTCCTTCGGCAAATGCAAAGGTACATTTGTATTCGCCACTAGAGTCTGAACTTGCTAGGTAAAGGATGTGAATATAGTCATTGCTTTCTTCATAACTGTACTGTGAGGTTCCTATTACGCCATCTGGACCTCTCCATGTAATGCCAGACTGAGCATCGCTGGCATCAAGGGTGCAACTCAACTTTAATCCTGCGTTAGTATAACTATAGATATTGGCATCTGTTGGGGTCTTGGTGACAATTCTTACAACTAGTGTTCCTTCAGAATGGTAATTCTCAGTATCAGATACAACAAACATGCACCGATAACTTCCAGCATTTTCTATTGTGATACCGGCCGTTTTTATTGTTAGTGTTGTCTTGAAGAGGCCGTTGGTGATGGAAGACTCGGTTTCTACGTCATATGGGTCGGTGTAAGCAATTGGTGTACTGTCAGTATCAACGTAATTCTTGTACCTGAAGAGAGAGAATCGTTTTAGTCATAACATTGAATGACATTATATGATGATTATGCTGATTGGAACCAATAAGTAAACCATCCTGCTTGAATTATTGGACATCTCTTTTAAGAACATGCAACACAGTGATTGGAAAATCAAATATTTGCATACCAAGCAGTAGAGGTAGGTACCGCACCATCAGAACCCACACCCAGGGAGCACTCCATCGTGACGGCAGCCCCGATTGAGTAGTATTTGGTATTCAGTCTGGCGTTCAGGCCTGAAAATAACAGCTTGAGAAACTAAATTTAAACATTTAAATTATTGATCAAAATGTGAGTGCGCTACACAGGGTATTAAGCCGTGTAATGTTTGTTAATTAGGTATATAAAGACGTTTTTGAGTTTCTGAGTCAAGAAGAATGATATCCTTCCAATGTATTAAAAAAATCAACCAAGTTATCTTATCAAACCAACCTCTGAACTTTAGGACTGTTTTTGCAGTAAGTTCCGCTTTAGGGTTGGTGAATGAGTACTTGCAAACAATTACTTTGCTGGCATCAGAGTAGGTTCGTCCCAATATGGTGAGCTCATCAGACCTGAATTATCAGGTTTATAACCTTCAACAAAGCTGAATTAGTATTACTGTACTCGTCAACGGTACCTACACGAACAATCTAACAGATCGCTGCTAAGGAAGTAAGGATAAAATGTTGTACCTTTCATTTGTTCCGGTATTCAAAGTTCCTGGAGTAATGGTTATTCCATCATCAGAGTCCAAAACAATTGAACCAGCTACAGTCCAGGATACAGATGGGTCGTCTGTTCCCTTGTAGTTACAAGTTATGGTGTGCGAGGCCTCGCTGGAGACTTCCTCTGCGGCCAAAGCGTCGACAGCTACAATGTAAGCGTGAATTTTAGGAAAAAAGTTAATAAAAGTAAACATGCAGTTAAGGATTTTGATTGAATTTACTTGTTTTAGCTCGCGACCTAAAACACTGAGAATGAGACTTCTTCAAACAATGATGATATAAATTAACATTATTTATATCAACTTACATCGAACCCTGAAGTTAGTGGTGGATTTGATGTCATCACCAGTTCCTGAGAAGGAGTAAGCACACTTGAGCGCTCCTCCACTGGATTTTATGATCAGGTTCAATGTTAAAACAGATTCCCACTTCTTGCTTCCAGTAACGTAACTTCCCTGAAGTATGTGAAATCATAATAGCATGATTAAAAATGTATTATATGCAACCATGTAACTTCTCAGTTCTCTCGCTATCCACGGAAATAAAAGGGATAAGACATGATTAAACTTATACCGTAAAAGACCTTAACAGAAAGTTTAATACAGAGTAGAACTTATTTCTAACCTCAGTAATAGTATATCCAGCAGGCAGAGCTAAATCGTTATAAGTCCACGTGACACCACCCACACCACTGTCTCCATGATATTCACAAGTGAATGTTTGGGATCCCCCGAGAGCAGTGACAGCTGTATACTCGTCCAGCGGCTTGGATAGCTCTGAGATGGTTTTAACATTTAATTTCGTGTATTTTGGTTGTCTGGATAGAGTGGAGAGGGGGTACAATATTTATTGGTTAAAGATACTTCGCCACTTTGTCGTATGTAATCCATATTCCATAATATGCTCTCTTGTGTTATTCCGATATTATATACCATGTCAATGTATTGATTGTATTGAATGATTTGTTTATTGCTTAAACAAGAAGGCTTACCTCGGATGTAGAGAGTTGCAGTTGTGCTTTCTCTAGTAAGGGTCGCATCTCGATAGCGTACACAGCCTCGCATTGTAAACACCCGCATTGTCCATGGTGGCACTGAAAAGTTGTACATTCAAATTCAAATTTCAGAGAAACGCCCTGATGATAACACAGGCCATGGTGTTCCTAATTCCTTACTATTTATTATGATGTTGTCACATGCACATGATATAAGCTACTATACTGTGGTGAATTAGAAGATTTTTGTTCTTCTGAGTCAATAGGAGAATTTAAGACATCCACGATGCACCAGACAAATTACACAATTTATTACTTATAACTCTGTTCCATGAAATTAACTTAAATGTGACGGTTAAACTCACGATGAGAATGTCAAAGTGGATGTTCCAGGGTTAGCGTTATCAAAGTTGATGAGGGACACGTCCATAGCAGTGCTGGTTCCATCCACAACCTTGTACCAGCTGAGACTGGTAGTGGCACTATCTGGGTTCTTAACCGTACAGGACAGTTCAGCGTCCTCCCCAACAAGATGGGAAACATCAGAAGGGTTTATAGTTATACCAATATCTGTGGGAAAGGAAACTGTTACGGATCAATCCATATAACCAACTGAACGCATATAACGAGTATTTACTGAATCAGAAGAGGCTAACAGAGCGATTGGAGATCAAGTTGGTGGGAGAACCAATGAAATCTTCAAAGAGGATAAGTTGACATTTTCAAAAATAATTAGTATCATCTTGCATTATATAGTTTTAACATAGCAGAAGAAGCAAAATCCCAACCATAAACAGCAATAGTAGCAGTGGCACTCTCAACAGTGGTTCCTCCAAAGTCGGCTGTGCACTTATACACTCCACTATCGGCCTCTGCTGCAGTGGCGATTGTAAGGGTGCTCGTCGTTTTCGGGGCAGTGTAGGTATCTATATCACCAGACACGAGAGATGTATCTTTTGTCCTGATTGGATTTAAAGTAAGCTTTTGTGTAATATTGACTTTGGTTGAAAACAAATTGGGACGAGCTAAAGAACTGATTGTCACAGGCGAGGAGCATGAAATAAACGAATCGGGTAAAAGGCATTATATTATAGTTATTGTGGATAAAACTCTATACATAATCACAGAGAATGCCTGGAATATCTTACCATGTGATGGTAGCTTGTACGTCTCCAACAACCAAGCAACTGATTTCAAGTTGAGATCCTAGATTAACATTGGTATCAGCTGGGTCAGTTTCAAATCCTCTCACTGTAACATCAATTGTTCCAGTCAGGATTACTGCATTAGAACCGTCACTGTGGGAGTATGTGGCAGTGCAGATATAAGCTCCTGTATCAGCTAGTGCCAGGCTGGAGAAGGATAGAACGCTGGTGTAGGAAGAGTCGGAGGTGGAGGTCGTAACTCCGGACGTTATCTGAAGGGTGAGGAGGGGGTAAGGGGGGTGAGGATAATAAGTGTGTAGCCCATTTTGGTCTGTACTCTGTACAAGGGACATTGGGGTAACATGTTCATTTTTAGCAATTAGTCTCTTCCTGTTGATCATCAATCCCTATTGCATAGCTTTTTAAACCATTAATTAAAGTAAAAATAAAAAGTGTACTAACGTCGGCGCCTCCGTCTAATTTCCAGGTTACTGCTTGTGTTACGAAAGTATCATCCAGATCCATCGCACAGGACAGTTGAGCACTTGCTGCCGCCAACAGGATTTGGGCGGAGTCAGGTGTCACGACGAGACCTAGAAAAGTGTAAATTTAGATAACTATAACATTCAGGGATATCACCATCACGTGGTAACATGTATTTACTGAAAATATCGTGCATCATAGACGAATCAAGTGTTTCAAGCAATTACGGCAATTATCGAATGACATTGCAGATAAAATAATATTTTCTACGGTAAAATAGTTACCTAATATAGCCAGGGCTAGTTCTGCAGATTGGTCATCTAAAATGGGGTCTGCGTAATCCACTCGGCAAGAGTAGTCTGTATCAGCAGAATCAAAGTTGAGAATGCTCAGATCAGATGTCGACTGTTTTGTTTCGCCATCAGCTTCAAAGCTGGTGGCCAAGGTCGTGGCAATAGTATAAGCAGAGTCATCACTCACCAAAGCAGTTCCAGAATCACCTTTAAACCATAGGATACCATCTCCAACATCGTGTGCTAGAACAGCACATGAGACAACACCGCTGTCACCGGACTTGATCGAGGGTGTGGGGGCAGAAATTGTCACTTCTGAAATATGCATAATCCATTTAACACCACTATTACTGTAAAATACGAATGGTATTCAAGCTCGTTAAGTTATCAATATCAGATTCACAGAGATAAACTACTCACGTCTACAAGAAGTAGACCACTATGTGACTATGACTATAAAAGATGAACGGTATTCAAGTTCGTAAATTAATCAACATTAGATTTTTTTAATTTTATTTCAAAATTCAAATAAACTTTACATCAATGTATTACAGTTATATTTAGAAAAGACCACAATATCTCCTGTGAAGCAAAAACATGGAAAAAGAGAGCTAGAAAAATATTCATGAGACTCAACACTACCAGACTCAGCTGGAGTGAGAAACATTATGTAAACATCATAGTAAAATTTATTTCGGCTGAACTAAAACACGGTGGTAAAACCATAATTACATTGGTGCCGACCCTACATAAATCATTAATCAATAATCAAGAGAACAAATTAAAATGTATACGATACCTTCTTGCTACTACTCCACAGACTTACATGACATAACAACAGAAAAACATAATTATATATTATAATATACCAATCTATCTAACCACTCCATGGACCTTAACGTACCGCGTGACGCTCTTGTTTCATAGAAGAAAAAACGGCGCGTTCTACTGCAGGTGCGAGTATAACATTTATAAAGTAAAATATATAATATTCCATGCTGGGCCGTCTAATCACAGAGTTGTAACTTGAACATTTTTTATTTGATATTATGTTATCTTACATGTTATCTGACTACAAAAACCATGTATATAGTACTACTCACGTCTACAAGAAGCAGGGAAGTTGTTGGTTGAACTGGAGCAGACTATGGTTTGTGTACCGGCGTTACCGTAGGTGTAATCAGTATTACAAGTCATGTCTACATTACCTCCCTCCGCTACACGAGATCGGGATCTGTACTGGCTACGAATTTCATCGTGGGCACGGTACAGACAGCTGAAAGCAGGAGTTGAGTAAAGCAAATGAATAACTTAAGTTAAAGGACCAGTTAACTGAAAAAAAAGTTATCCTCATATTTTGACAGATTGTGACAAATAGCAAACTGAGCAACGAGTCGAAATTCCTAAATCTCTAACTGCTCTCTAACGCGTGTAATTAGCGTTTGTATTATTTTGGCGATGACGTCATAAAGTCCCTTGCGCGCACAGAGCAGCTCGTGAGACTGTATTTTACAGGTAAAAATGGACATAATACAATGTTTCTCCCCCAAATAACTCGAAAAGTAAGTGTTTTAGGGTACATGTTGCTTCATAAGTTGTACATAAACATGGCCATTCTGCACAATTTGCACTCATTCAAAAATCTGTTTGGCCTTCATAGCCCAATTTACGAGATACCCATATTTTTGCATGATTTCTGGAACCGGAAATCAGTTTTTCGCCAATAACTGAAAAAGTAAGCACTTTAAGGCATCTGTTTCTTCGTAAGTCATATATTAATATGCTAATTGCGGTTCTTTTGCACCCTGTCTAAAGACTCTATCACGATCCTATCGAAAATGGGCTCAGCACCACGCCCAAAATGGTTTTTGGCGAATTTCTCGAAAAGTAAGGATTTTAGGCCATGTGTTGCTCAATAACTCCTATATAAACTTGCATATGCGGCTTCGTTTAAGCCTATTTTGAAGTCTCCACGACCTTCAGAAGCAAAGGGTCGGTTACGTTATTGGGTCAATATCGGCGTGGTCAATATGTCTCCAACCGAAAATCCTTTATTCATACTTTTGGGAAGGTCTTTGCAAAATTTCGTGAGTATACGAAAATTTGCAGGTTCAATTCCATAAATGTCCATAAATGACTGGACTACACAAGTTTAGAGTTAACTTTAGAGAAACTCATAAATCATTATTATCTAAAATTAAGCTGTCAGTGTCCATGATCAACCTATGGCTACAATGTTTTACGTGAAAATTGAAATGTAAAAATCAGGAGTAATATAAAAAGTGTATTTTTAGATTAAAGTGCTATCTCATAGTTTAAGAATTGTATAGATTAACGTTTGTCGTTTAGCCATCTAAGAATCGATCGTGCCGTAATATATATGGCCAACGAATAATAGGGTCTTGGAAATTCTATAGTTGTTGAGTGGGTCGATTGACTGAACACGTTTGCACTAATTGGTATTTAATTTTATGATCATACAAGTAGGACGATAACTAGGTAAGTCAAATTCAAAACACTCCGCACACTGTACACTCCAATCAGTATTTAGTAGATCGGGTATTTTTCGGTTCCCACGGCACCGTTCTGATAGGAGCTACTTCTACTAATGGTCCCATGGGAACGGCCGTAAAATAGCCAGACTTCTTGTCTCCTGTACTGTCTGGCACGTGTGGATTAAAGTAAGAGATTTCGCTATGCTAAAAATATAATTGCTCTCGGAACTATGTCTTTTACAGCGAACCATTCGACTGCTCGCATTCTTCCGAACAACTGTAATATTATATTACAGAGTTACACTCTGATCAGCTATATTTAATATATAGCACATTATTTTGTGTATTAGTTTCATGTGCTGGGGAAAAATAATCGGTACAGTCTCCCTTCGTTTGTAATGAAGCAATGAAAACAATCCAAAATTATCACATATGACATAACTTGTAATAGCAGAAACTTTCTAACCGTACATTCACCCGCCACTGTTCAAGAACTTATGTCACTGTTTAAAATCCTGACGTGAGCACTGTACATCCAATCAGCTATTCATATAGTTAGGGTGATAGCCAAAACTATAAGGATTTTGTAGAACTAGGGAAATAGTCATAACTCTAAAATTTGAGTGAGTTACACGTGTTTTATTGACGATGATA